CCTACGAGTTCTACATGATTCAACGTTTCGTTATCGTGTGTGTTTCTTCTCACCCTTGTGGAATTAGGGAGGGCCTCCCCGAACGACTTCCCTTGGGCTTAGCTATTTAGTTGATCTTAAAAGTGTCTTATACACTTTTCGCGAGTCTACTCTAGCGTTACTTCCTTTCCGACAGGGTACAGTGGGTTATCTGGAATAGGAGCAATAGGCGACTGCCCAGCTTGCCTTGGTGAAATCTGTCTGATCTTTTCTACCAAAGCTATTAGTATTTGCCGTTGGTCCTGTTAATTTGCACTATTTGCTTTCAGATAATGAGGTATTCCTTAAGAAGAACGAAGACGTCATATTTTTAGCTTTTTATTGTATTTTCTTTGAAATTTCGTATGTTTTCTTGTCTTTCTTTTACAGGTATCTTGTTTATTACTTTATGAACTGTTATATTATGTAATTGTAACTTAGAATGATACTTAAAATGTTTTTAAATTAGTCTTTTGGCATAAATGTTAAAATTTAAGTATATATGTTAATAACTTTAATAATTAGAAGTAGTTTGGGTGGATAGGGTAGCTATAAGGGGAGATGTGGAGGCCACAGAGGGTTAGGGGGCTTTTTTCTCTCTAATCTTGTGTTTAAATAGTAATATGAGGCTTTTTATTGCATTTTCTTTGAAATCCTAATTGTTTTCTTGACTTTCTCTTATAGGTAGTTTTGTTTTTTAACTTTTATAAGTCGTTACGAACTGTTATTTGTTAGACATTTTCTTTATATTATGTATTTGTAATAAATGTAAACTGTGTCTAAATAAAAATCGATTATCTTTGAGTGATCATTATTTTGTTGTTTTAAATAAATCTGTTTTATTTTCCTGAATGTTTTGTTATGGCCCTCTGACGTGGACAAAAATAAACCCGAAAAGCCCTGAAGAACAATAAGTAGAGAAATTGTATAAATTTTGTTTTTACTGGCGTCCTCTTACGATTAGTAGCTGAACTATATCGAATAACAAAAAATTATTATAGAAAGTTGATCCCGCGCTAAAAGTTTAAACCCAAAAAAAGACCTTATGCCACTTATGCTCTCCTAATACAAATGTTCAAATTTAAGTCAAATTAATTCTAATCCTACTTTTATTTCTTCTTGTTACGCCAATGACGTTTTACATACGTATGAAGTTAGTTCCAAATATGATAGAGCACCAATCAGCATCAAAAATCTGGTACTCATCGAAGACGAGCTCATAGAGATATTGCAAGCTGTTGGTGAATTATATATCGGAATCTGGTTCGTATTTGCTTCGTCTGGTTACTTTACGTTAAAGTGGTCTTTATTAAACAGCATTGAATCATGGCATCATCCGAAGGAATTGGTGTTACAACCGGTCAACCAAATTTACACAAACAGGACCTATCTAAACTTGTAAGTTTTATGAAAACTGTTTTTTTTTTGTAAATTTAATATCTGAATTTGTTCCTGAAATTTTAACGTAACCTCGAATTTGGTATGGTATATTTTGAACTTCGACATTTTCTTATACTGTTAATTTTAGGATGTAACAAAACTTACAGCACTATCGCCGGAAGTTATTAGTAGACAAGCTACAATAAATATCGGAACAATTGGTCATGTAGCTCATGGGAAATCAACTGTGGTTAAAGCTATATCCGGTGTTCAAACAGTTAGATTTAAAAATGAATTGGAACGTAACATTACTATAAAATTAGGTATGTTGTTTAAATATATAGTATAATTTCTGATTTTCTACTAGTTATTACCATTTGTTTTAATTTTTTTAAATTCTAATGTGTCTGTCTACTGTTAAATTCTAATAGAGTTGTTTCTTATTGATTTTCAAAAATGTAACCCGTTCACATCAAATAGTAATTTTGGTTAATGTTTTACAAAACTTGTTATTTCATTAATTATTATATTTTAATAATTCGTAAAACAAACCTTACAGAAAAACTGCAATTTGATGTGAACGGGAAGCCAATAATACCAGAAGGGATTCTGAAGAGGAAGATTAATGAAAAGGACAAAACAATTCCTTCAAAGAAGAACCACTTTACTGAACCAAAAACAAAAGTGAAAGTTAAAAGGAAACATCAAGCAATTGATCAAGAGATTTACTCAAAAGAGTATATAGTGGAACAAATATTAGCTCATAAATATGAAAATGGGACTCACATGTTTCTTGTCAAATGGAAAGGGTGGTCTGAGAAGAACAACACCTGGGAGCCATTACATCATCTGGAACGCTGTCCATCAGTTCTGGGAAATTTTATCACAGATATGCTGGGTAATCAAGCATTGAAGAGCTTATGTAAAATGCTTAAGGTGTCCAATAATTTTCCCGAAAAAATCCTTGAAAGCCTTATTCCATCGGAAGGATTTTCTGCCCTACCAAAAAAACTTAGCATTCAAAGAGAGCTTTTGACAGTGCTATCTGCTTGTCCAAAAGAAAAACATACAAAAAAACTGAAAAGAGGCAAGGAAGCACTTCTAATTTATTTTTTGCATTTGAAACGTGAAATACAGCTCAACCGTCTGGCGATTTGGGAACAAGAAATGAACAAAGTGGCTTGTGAGAATGCAGTTATTAAGGTAGAAAATAACGTAGACCTGGAAGGCCCCCCCATAGACTTCGTTTACATCAATAACTATCGGCCCACCGACGGTATCGTAATCCCCGATAATCCTCCTATCGGTTGTGGATGTTCGAAATGTTCAAATAAAGAGAAACATTGTTGCGGAATGTTTCAGCAACAAACGTACCGTTTCCCTTACAATTCCAAAGGAAGAATCAATCTTCCAAAAGGTACGCCCATATATGAGTGCAACAAAAGTTGCAAATGCGGTCATGATTGTCGCAACAGAGTGGTACAAAGAGGGCGTAACGTTCCTCTATGTATTTATCGTACAAGCAACGGTTGTGGCTGGGGCGTTAAATGTCTACGAAGAATATACACTGGCGAGTATGTATGTGAGTATGTTGGTGAAATAATTAGTCATGAGGAAGCCGAGAGGCGCGGTGCTCTGTACGATTCGCAAGGACGCACCTATCTTTTCGATTTGGATTTTAATTCAAACGATAACCCGTACACTGTGGATGCTGCACGTTTTGGTAACGTTTCCCATTTTATAAATCATTCCTGCGATCCTAATTTGTCAGTGTGGGCAGTCTGGGTCAATTGTCTCGACCCAAACATTCCGAAGTTAGCTCTTTTCGCGACTAGAGAAATANTTATATTATTTATTAGTAATAGTTATACTACTTTTCAATTGCATTATTATGATCACATTATTATCTATGATTCACCAATGGCGCACGCGCATTAGTAATTTCAATGAAAAATTAAGTATTATATGTGATTATTACTAATAAATAAAATAAAGATAATTTTTGCTTAGCATTATAGGTCAGAGAGCTCAGTCGTCAAGTACAAATGACGTGTAATCTATTGTAGTTTTTGAATAAATTGATATTGAATTTGCACCTGTACCTGAAAATATTTTTCTTTGTTTTAACAAGATTAATAGACGCGCAATTATGATACTTAGATATTTACAACTCGCAAAGGATGCAGAATTAATTGGTATGGTTTAAATCAGAGAATTATTAATATCGGGTGCTAATTTCACAGAACTGTGGACATACATAATTGTAAACGAAATAAAATACATTCTATGGTCTTCACTGTCAATACTTTTTTATTTTTATATCCCGCAATGGGTGTGCTGCTTATTGCCCCGAAACCGATGCTATAATGCGTAAACTTAATCTATGGCGTAAACGAAAATAGACACCTTTTCATATTTGTAAGATGGAAATGTAAACTAACTATAACGAGATAAAATAGGAAATTGATTTTATTTGTATCAAATAAAATGGTTTAAAAAATTAACGTTTTTTGCCTTTAATAAAATTCTATGATTTCATGTGCGTAATGTGATAATGATTGGATAGTATTGGAATGTTGTCATGTAATAATAGTACTTTTCATGTTTTCATTTAAAAATTGATTGGAACCACACTTTGAGAAGGAAATGGATTTATTTGGAGAAATTGTAGAACCAATTAGTCGCGCTCTTTGGAGTGACGATTTTATGGAGTATCCGGAAAATATTGGGTAATTTTGTTTAGCTTTACCCAATTTCTATCAATGTGTTTTTAATAAGCAGTTTTATGTTCAGAACCCAACTGCAATGGAAGAATGATGTAATGACAGTACCAAATCGAATAGAAACATTGATTGTTATTGAAACGAATGAGTTACTTGAAATAGTTGAACATTGTTTGCCAGTGAACAAAACTGCATTGAATAAATTAAAAGAAGTACAGTTAGAAGTATACGACATGCAAGCCAGTACATATATAGTTCTCTGTCGCTTTGCTACAAGTACAATTTACACAGAGGTTTTAAAAAAATACTGGTAAATAATTTTGAATAATTAACATTGTATTTAAATTTTAGATAACTGAAGTTTTAGAGAATTGGTTAAAAAATAGCAACAACATTGTCTGCCTCACATCAAAATGTAATGCTATATATCAAGATGATTGTCACATTAATGAAAAGAATACATTTATAAGACATCTAACTGTTAAACCCATTACAAATACATTTTCACAAGTTCTAAAATCTCCCAATTTAATAACAGGTTTAGCAGCAGGAATATTAACATACAGCATGATTAATGGGCTTCACTGTACATCTTTTATGGTGTATTTAGAAGTGGCTCCATTGGATTCCATAAATACAAAACATGTGTTGGATTTACTAAAATGTTATTATAAAGGCCCCATTAAACCTTATAAATTGTCAACAAAGTTGCCAAAAAATAATGTATACATGTAACTCATATTTTCTAATATGATTAAATGATCAATAAATGTAATGAAATTTATGTATTTTTATAATTAAAAAAATTAATGTAACAATGTGAAATTTAAGGGGCATGTAATTGTGTGATTATAAAACATTATGACCATGTATAAGTTTTAGTTTCAGCAGTATACTTTAAACAATCGATGCTTTCCACGCGCTTCGAATCAGCAGAGCAAAATTGTTTTAAAATTTTTGAATTAAGGCCGCAATCAGATAAATTTACTTGTCCAAAAACCGCACTACCCGAATCGACTTTTCCTTTTTCAGCTGACGAATTTGAAAAATTCGATATTTTCACATGACAAAGAGGCACTGTTGACTTAATATTAGCAAATGTTGCTGTAAAACTTTGTTCTCTGGGATAAATTTCGCATAAATTGTGTATTGCATGCGGTAAAATCGGACCGTTTAGTTCCAACGAATAATAATCAACGTTATCGAAATGTACTTTGCTTTCACGTACTTTTATGGAATTCAAAGTGGCTCCGTTAAATGCTACAGGGGCCAATAGCGTCGGGGGAATTCCAGCTAATGGGCCCGTCGTCGACACAGCACTTTTACAATTCAGTAAAAAATTAAAAAAAGAGTTTACCTCTGCTCCCTCAATAACAATTAAACTTTGTTCACTGTTATCAACTTCACATTCTCCTTTGAACTTCATTTTTTGCTGCTTGTAATTGATTTGCTTAATTTCATCGGCGTTCATGCCCAAACTGAGCAACCAATCTTCCTCATCATCACCTTCATCTTCTTCGTCATTTAATTCCGAATCGACCACAGTATCTTGTGTTGTAGTTTCATAGCTAAGGAAGTACAAGCTTTAGTTTATTTTTATCAAAATAAAAGTCACTCACCTACCCTTGGTCACAGTTTGGTTTTTTCTTAAGAGGCATTTTAAATTCAATTTCTTCTTGTCTCAGTAACTGCCTGAATCCTCTAGTTGTTGGTGTCACCATAACATGCAATTCTGAATGTCCACATATCCCTGCAGCTCTGAATAGTATTGTATAGTTATTAGCACAAACATAGAAGTAAGGACACTGCCTAGTACGAATCAGTTGAAAAAGGGACCTTATACTATCTGACCAGGCAGTTTGAAGACTGTGTTTAATTGTAGTGGAAATAGGCATACTGGTACCTAATAAATATAATTTTTATTTCATAAGAAACTGAGATCCAATGAAACAGCAACACTTACCAGATGTAGAAATTTTTGTTGAAGTTCTAGGAAACAATTTAAGCCAGGGGAAAACAGGCTGTTGCCAATACAAGCAGCATTGATGAAACTTTGCATTAGAAGAGGTGTCAAGAGTAATTTCTGATGTGCTGCCCAAGCACCTAACAAAACTAGTGATACCTGAAGCTTCTTCGCTGATTTTTAACTTTTGATTCCACGGAAACGGTCTATCAGATATAAAACGCATTTTTGATTTTAAAGACCAGTCGACAGGAATCCAGGATTCCCCTTTTATAACTTTGGACCTTTCAATGTGTACATTATCATCAATTCCATTCAGTACATTAGCAAAAGAAGTTGCACTATGAATGTTTGCCGTTCTCTCACTGGTAAAATTAAATAAAGTAAACAATGTCTGGTCTGCTGATGCCTCTATGTCGGTTAAATATGTTTCAGTTTTTTCGCGTTTATTTGAAGTACTACAAACAAACGGATTTTTACGCTTTTCGGATTTTTTTGTGCTTACATTAATAGATAAAATATTCTCCGAACAGGGGCATAATGCATTATTTTTTGAACAATTTATTCGGGCTTTCAGCTGCTTCTCTTTTAATTTTAAACAATACAAACGCATAACTTTGTTGGGGTCCTTCCATTGGTTTGACTCTGAAGAAAACGATTGTTCATTATGTATATCACAAGGTTTGTTCATCTTTTTACGTTATCTGATAATTATTTTTTGTGAAATGTTCACTTTAAAACTAAAACACGTTAAAATTTAATTCATCTTAATAAAGACATAAATTCTAATTAACCATACATCTTAACATTTGAGGTTAAAACCATAGATAATTTTAGAGAAATGTTTGACGTTTTCAATGTTTCTAATATTCAGTGTTTATACTGAGTAAGTAGCATAATAGTACAACCTAAAATCTATGACCACAAATTATTCATAAAATGTGTTAAGGTTATATGTGTAACAATATGAACATAGAATATGATAAATAGTAAGTATGCAATAATACTACTTGATAAGTAAATATTGGAATATTTTGTCAATTTACGGTTAGTAGAAAGCGTAATAACATTGAAAAATATAGTAATGTCGTGTGCATTAAAATTTTTATGTTTTAAAAATATTCTGCCAATACGACATATCCAATCCGCAAAATTTCTTCATTCGCAAAGATATATAACAAACAATATTCGAAGACTATTCCCTCAAAAAGTCCCGATCAAGACAATTTTTATCAGGAATATAAAACGGCAAAACAGTATCAAGACAGAGTTGGCATGTGAAAAAACAATTTCTAAATCAAAGGCAGTTGGGTATTGGTTGTTAGGGTGTAGTGGAATGGTTATTGGTGCTGTAATATTAGGTGGTGTTACTAGATTAACAGAGTCTGGTCTATCAATGGTTACTTGGAAATTCTTAGGTGAAAAGATTCCTAAGTCTGATGAAGAGTGGATTGTAGAGTTTGAAAAGTATAAACAATATCCAGAATTTAAATACAAGAATCATACTATCACTCTCGGAGAATTCAAATGGATTTGGTACATGGAATTTGCTCACAGAATGTGGGGTAGAACTTTAGGACTTGTTTTCTTAATGCCCGCTATTTATTTCTGGTCAAAAGGAGCATTTAATAAAACAATGAAGATCCGTGTGCCCATTTTTGGTTGTTTGATTGCTGCTCAGGGACTTCTAGGGTGGTACATGGTAAAATCTGGCCTAGAGGATAGGTTTCAAGGGGAAAATGATGTTCCTAAGGTTTCACATTATAGACTCGCCTCCCACTTAACTTTAGCATTTATTTTGTATTCGTTGTTTCTATGGTCTGCCTTAGATCACCTGTTGCCTGCACAGACATTAACTAATATCAGTCAACAGAGTTTAAAAACAGCAGGAACATTTAGGATGCTTGCTCATAGTTGCAAGGGATTTGTATTCCTTACAGCAGTCTCTGGTAGTTATTTTTCTAATTGTTTCTTTTTATAAAATAATTTTGATGTTTATCTATATTTGAAGGTGCTTTTGTTGCGGGTTTAGACGCTGGTCTCGTTTATAATTCCTTTCCAAAAATGGGCGACAAATGGATACCAGAAGAAGTTTTAGCATTAAAACCGAAAGCCTCCAATTTTACAGAAAATCCGGTCACAGTTCAATTAGAGCATCGCCTTTTAGGCACTACTACTTTGTGCTTGATAAGTGGCTTGTGGCTTATGTCAAGGCGTCTGATCCTTCCGCCTAGAGCTTATGCAGCTGTAAATACATTAGCGATAATGGTATGGTTCCAAGTAACCCTAGGCATTACCAGTCTGCTCACTTACGTCCCCGTACCAGTTGCGGCATCTCACCAAAGCGGATCTCTTGCGCTATTATCGTTTGCTGTTTGGCTTACTCATGAACTCAAAAGATTACCTAAAGCATTATAAATTAATAAACTTGCGTATATTTCTTTTACACATGGTATACAATCTTGTTTGTTTGTTCATTAGTATTACAGTATAGGAAAAGCAACGTTTACTTTGTATAAAAATGAATGTGAGATAGTTATTTAATCAAGATCTGATTTTTAACATTTCAATGCCCCGACCGAAACATAATGCATAACTAGTCTCATTACTTTTATAAAATTCCATTCCTTGTATATCTGGTACGGAAATAAAAAAACGGTCGCTAGTTTTCAGGTGTAATTTGTTTCCGTCAATTTTTACGTTGTACATGATAAATCGTTGATCTACAGATACACTAAACAGGCGATTATCTGATAAACACAAACCAGTAATTTGTGCACAATGTGCAGTATTATCGTTACAACTCATAATAACATCGAAGTCAATTTTATAATCATTATCTTTACCTGAAACTTGTAGAAGACTTGCATTTATCATATTATCGTCACCTCCCGTCACAAGCAACAAACGTTTTTCGCCCATTTTTCTTAAAACAATACTATTAACAGCATTCTGATGTAGTTTAAATGTTTTAAACGGGAAATACTCGGTTTGTTTTAATTCTTCTGACTCTGATTCGTTGAGAATGTTTCTTAAATCGACAAACATAACATGACCACTTGTTAACGTACATATAAGCATGTCGGTTTCTAAAAATTTTTCGTGAAGCAATTTTGTAATACATCTCGACTTCGAAAGGCACCCACGATGAATACATTTTATTTGATTTTTTTTTTTAATCGAAAAAATAAGCAAACACCCATCCGAACAGGCGGCAATTAAATAAACGACATCATTCTTCTTTAAAACTGACAAATCCATAATTCGCGTCTCCGATTCCCATTCTTTGGTAGTTTCGTGAAAAGAATGTAATTGTTTACAATCGATACGTGCGATTCTTCCGTTTTCTGATGAAATTCTCAAAGTCCAAGCGATAATTTGCGCCCTTCCGCCAGCGGTAAAAAGATTGAATTCCGTAGTTTCCCCAAAAATTCTTCGTTTTATGCAACGAATGCATCTAATGCTTGACAAATGAGACTTTAAAGTGGAAACAGTCTCAAGCGAACCTGTTTTAAAACAACCAATGGATATTTTTATGGTTGTGTCTTCACCACCTGAAATGAGTACGTAATTCTCCAGGTTTTTGAATAATATCAGTTGGCATGCGTTTATTTCTTTTGTATGAAAACTGCTAATAATTTTGGTCGGAAAGACTGACGATTTTTTATAATCATTCATAAGAACTGTCTTGTCCTTTAAATAAGAAAATCTCAAGTCGTTTAATGAAGTCTTGAAGTCCCAAGATCTGTGTCTTCCGCCGCATTTAATTTCCACAACGATACGTCGAGATTTAATATCCCAAACTGTGAAAATATCTCCGCGAAATGACAAGATTAAAAGCAAATCGTCACAAGCAGATAACTTTTCTAACCAAGACATGGGTAACTTATCTGAACAAGTAGGAGACAATTTTCTATCAAAATCGTATGTTTTAACGATTCCATTTGCACCTAAAATAATAGATAAGAGAGATTCTACGAAGTGGATAGATGTTAATTACAAATCTTACCCAAACTTAAGACCTTTCTGTTTATACTATTGTACGACAGGTGTGTGATTCCCAGATGATTGTGAGCTTTTTTAATAGTTTGCACCGGATACAAACGATCCAAAATGAAAAGATGAACGTTTCCTTTCCGATCTCCGACAATTAAATGGTTTTCTCCACAAAAAGTGGCGGCAGTGCTACATCTTTGTTGACTATTCGGCAGTTTAAATACGGATCGTAATACAACTTCATTGGGATCGTATAGCTCCCATAAAGATAGTGTACCGTTTCTGCTGCAGCAGAGAAAAGTGTTACATGTGAGCCAATGGAATGAAAACACTCTGCCTAAATCGGGAACTTTGTGAAAACATACATATTCCAAATCGCATCCCATTTCTTTGTAAATGTGTATGTTACCCGTAAAACCTACATAAAGTAATATTTTAACAAAGTGAAAAACAGAAAAAGAAAACAATTACACTCTCACCGCAAAGACTTAATAACCTTCGACACTGAGATACTTCCATTAAGGAATATTTCATTAACTCTTCATGAGTGCCAACAAGCATTAACTTGTTAGCCCTCTTGTGGTAATAATACAACGAGCCCTTGTCTGATAATATAGCTAAATTATCACTTATCATGTAATTAATCTTTATAGGTTTTTCTCGATTAAACATTGATATACAATGGACGTTATCATTGAAAAGATATGTATCAAATGGCAAAATAGTGACACCACCATCACTCCCTCCTACTATTATTTCTTTTTCATCTTCGTTATAATCTATTGCCCAAAGGCAATTTCCATCTTGGGCTTTGAATCTTCCCACATTTTTCCCATTAAAATCCCACAAATTTATTACAGAGTCTTCACCTGCAGCAATAATAAAGTTTTCAAGGATTTTACATCTAAACACCCTAGATGAGTGGCCATGTAAAGTGTGTTTTAATTTTACACTATTAACATTTATCATGCCTGTGGAAAAATCACATTTTTTGGTTTGCCACACTTTCAATGATCTATCATCTGATGTGGAACAAATAAAGCCAACGTATGGATTATAATCTATGGAAAAAATGGCTCCCTAAAGAAAATAGTAAAAAAAAAAACAGTTTTCAAAAATACACCAAATAACAGTAGAAGTTATACCTGATGACCTTTTAATGTTGTCAAAACCAAGCATAGTTCATTACTTTTAACATTAGGACTCCAAATAAGTATCTCATTGAAAACTGTACCTGAGAAAATAATCAACTTTCCCAGCCTTTTACCAGCTATATGAGCACTGTATAAAATACATCTTTCTTCACAAACACTTTCACATACATTCACAAAATCTTGACAATTCCAAATAACAAGCTTATTGTGCATAGAAACTGCAGCAATGGCATTATCATTATTTATCCATTCTGCTGTTAATAGCCAATCAGGATAATAAAAATTGGAGGTTAATTTCTTACACAAGCCATTATTATGGTTAAAAGAAAAGATAACAAACGTGTTACACCCGCACACCAAAACTTTATCTGCATTTGATGAAAACTTAATGGTAAAGACAGGTTCCTTTTTGAATGCATTCACTACTTGTACAGATTTGCTTGTTCTGTTTGTAATATATAAACAATTTCCAATTCCTACAATAAGAAAATTTAAAAGACCTACTTCACTGATCTAATATATTACCGGCAAAAATATATCCTCGTACAAAATTTATGGCCGTCACATCTGTTCTACTAGTAAGTGTAGATATTTGTACTCCTGACATTTTACGGTAGACGTTTATCAAGTAATAAAGAGATATTTTTTCATTATTGATTGAAATAAAGAAAAGAATTTAAGCTGTTAAACATTAATACTACAACCGACCATAACACCCACTTTCAAGTTTCAATATGGATACCATAGATAATAGATATATAAAGGGTAACATCAACGAACTCATAGATAATAGAACTAACTTAACACCCATGGAGATTAACAATCATAGATACTTAACGATAAGTAACATGAATTAATGAATTATTTTTGACAGCTACTAGTATTGCATCAACATACAAGTTATTTATGGAAAATAGTGGCTCAAGTGTGTTTTAACACGGGAATTAGAACAAACTAAGAAATTTCTTATTTAAATAATTTAGAAAATAATACAATAAACAAACCACTTAAAGTAAATTTTAATCAAAATTTTTCGAATTTCTTGATCACTTTGGTATTTTTTTTTTATTGTCCGTCATCTCACAATTTATCAACATCCGTTTAATACTTTAATGTCATCTATAGATTCATATATTAATGTCATCGATGAGAGTCATATAAAAGGTGTTTTGTGAGAATTATTCAAGAAATACCTTTATTTTGAAAATTTTATAGTCGCGAAATTATGGACGTGTTAAATACCCATTTGGATACGATTCGCGTGCCTGAGCCCCTCGATAAAGTTTACAAGGATGAATGTTTGTTTTCGTTTGACAATGGGGTACCAATTTTTTGAGGTTATCAATAAAATAAGAAATAATTAATTTTAATTGTTTTAGAATACAGATACGGGTTTATTCATAAGCCTCACGTCTTTTTGGGGATTAGGAAAAGACTATGTTGAATTGTACCACAGGAAAACAGGGCATTCGGTATTTTTACATATAAAAAGGGAATGGTATAAAGTAAGTGGTGTCTTAACAGTATCTTGAGTAATAATTCTAAAAGAATAATTCAATAGGTTCCATCCTCTTCTCAGGGAGATGGTCCAGAAAAAAAGATAACCAGGTTAGCAATAGGCATGGAAGGTGGATTTGATCCATCAAAAGAGAATAAATTTGAATTTCGAGAAACGTATACCATAGTAATTTTACCTAGCTTTAAGTCTCTGTCTTGGCCAGATTCTCAGTTTCCCGATATCGTAAGTTATCTGTGTCGGTAAAAATAGATAACAATGGTGTATTGTTTTTAAACTTAAGATTAACAAATCCGTGAAGAGAATACTTAAAGCAGAGTCGGCCAACAAGTTAGCAGAGCTAGAAGCACTTCAGGGAACTTGGGATGGGGAAGTTAGAGTTGTTAGTAAGCATGCTAAAGACTTAAAACAGTTGGACAATGGTAAAAAGATTCCCCCTACTGGCTGGAAATGTGAAAAATGTGAGAAGACTGAAAATTTATGGTTAAATTTGACCGATGGCTCAGTGTTATGTGGACGCCGCTTTTTCGACGGTTCTGGAGGTAATAACCATGCAATTCAGCATTTCAGTGATACAGGATACCCACTGGCTGTGAAACTAGGAACCATTACCAAAGACGGAAAAGCAGATATTTTCAGTTATACAGAAGATGATATGGTAGAAGATCCTTACATAAAAGAACACCTCGCCCATTGGGGTAAAAAGAGACATACACTTTTCGAATGTGTTTTTCTGTAATGGGTTATTGTAATGTTAATAGGTATAAACGTAGCCACGATGGAAAAGACGGAAAAATCTATGGTCGAATTAGAATTGGAGCTTAATAAAAAGACCAATGAATGGGCAATGTTACAAGAAAGTGGAAGTAAACTAAAACCGGTCTATGGTCCCGGCTACACGGGTATGATTAATTTAGGCAATTCCTGTTATTTAAACAGCGTTATGCAAGTGCTGTTTACCATTCCCGATTTCATAAATCGTTATGTAGATCAAGCCGGTCAAATCTTTGAAATGTTCAACATCAATTCCTGTCCAGCTGATGATTTTAACATTCAAATGTAATACCAAAAGTTAATATTGGTTAAAGAAAATAACAACGTACACCTTCTTATGTTTGCTCAGGGCCAAGATAGGAGTAGGTTTACTATCAGGCAAATATTCGATAGCGCCGGACGAATCGAAGCCCGATTTTAATGGCATCAGTCCTCGAATGTTTAAGACATTGGTGGGTCGTGGACATCCTGATCTTTCCACTAGCAAACAGCAGGACGCCCAGGAGTTTTTCTTGCACGTTGTCAAATTATTAGAATACAATAACAAGAATCGAATAAATCCTGCAGATTGTTTTAAGTACAAAGTCGAAGAACGAGTCCAGTGCGTATCATCAAAAAAGGTCAAGTACACGTACAGGTCGGATAACATTTTACCCTTGAGTATATCACTCGAGGCTGCCGTAAATAAAGAGGAGGTTGTTAATTGAAGAAATCAATTTCAAATGCAAATTTGAGTTTTGTTTATATTTAATTGGCAGGTGTCCGCATATGAAGAAAGAAAAGCTCAGTTAGAAGCAGAAGGCAAAAAAATTGATCCAAGTCAAGTGGTCAGACCTCGAATAAAATTTATTTCTTGCTTAGAATCGTTTGCACAGTCCGAGTTAATAGAGCAGTATTTCAGCACAGCCGTGAATTCTAGAACAACGGCCAGAAAGTAAAAATCAACATACGCTAATTATATAACTTAATTAATCGATATCAATTACAGGACGACGCGCATTGCCACCTTTCCCGATTATTTGCTGATTCAACTGAAAAAATTTACACTTCGGGAAGACTGGGTGCCAATAAAATTGGACGTTGCCGTCGAAATGCCCGACGTAATCGATTTGTCGTCCTTGCGAGCTACCGGACCTCAACCAGGCGAAGAAGAAATGCCCGAACTAACGGGAAGTCTGCCTTCGCCGCCTCCTATTGACGATCTCGTCCTCAAGCAACTCATGGATCTGGGCACGTTATTCATTTACTTTTCGTTTGTTTTCTTAAATTAATGTTTTTTTCTTCTAAAGGATTTCCAGTCGATGCATGTAGACGAGCCATTTTCTTTACGAAAAATACAGGAGTAGAAAACGCAACGGCATGGCTCTTCAAACATATATCAGACAGCGACTTCATGGAGCCGTTCATGCCGCCTGGATTGGAAGGACTGTCAAAGGTTACGAGCGATTTTGTGCCTGATCGAGATGCTGTGGACGCTATCAAAGGAATGGGATTTGCCGAACAACAGGCGGTCAAAGCATTAAAAGCGACTAATAACGAACTCGAACGTGCTGTTGATTGGATTTTTTCGAATCAAGAAGAAGTGGAAGATACAACAATTGCCAGTAATGAAAGCTCAGAATACCGTGACGGAGGAAGTCGTTAGTATTCCACGTTTCCATGTGTAATGAAATAACAGTTTTATCAATTATTTAACATGTATGATGTTTTAGAATACCAGTTAGTGGCTTTTATATCACATATGGGAACGTCGGCAGCGGCAGGTCATTACGTCGCTCATATTTACAAAGACGGTCACTGGGTGATATTCAACGACAATAAAGTTGCTTTATCGGAAAATTTACCCAAAGAACTTGGATACTTATACCTCTACAAACGTTTTTAACGAAGTGTCATTATAACTTTGTAATTCTTTTCTATTTGAATACATTTATTATTTGTATACAATCAATACACATGTCAGAATTAGTGAAATAAAAAGTAATTCAAAGAAAGTTTATCAAGTGTATGCTAAATTTCAATCTTCAATTAAAGATGTAATTAAGGAAAAAAAAGAATCTTTTTACATTGTAAATTGATTTTCGGCTCGCGGAATTAAACCTGCAATAGAGAGTCGATACGTAAGTTTTATTAACATCAATGCACTGTTGGCTGCATAACCAAAAAAGGATTAATCAAATAACTTAACCTAAGTTTTATTTTAGAGTTATTGTTTTGTACACTCACAAATATTAAAAAGTAGTTTGAAAAGAGAAATATACGAGGAACATATTTAGTTTTTGTAAGAAACTTATTTTATTTTTGAGTTATGCTTATGATAGATTGTGAAGTGGTTATTTCTCAAACCATCTTTAAGTAAGATGAGAATGTATTGTGCTCTACGTTCCAGTAAAAGGCCGTCATAATTATACTAAAATATTGATAAGATTGAAATTATTACTATTATCGTTCATATTGCAGTTAAAATGCGTATAATTATGAATATTTAGAACAACAATAATTACGGCGAACCATCTAGCATCTAGTTACAAATATGGCAGCTTCATCAACAGATATTGAAGATTTTTTAAACGGACCTTTAATTGCATGGGTAAGTTGTATGTAAAAGAGCTACCTTGCAATATTCTACAACTGTTTTGTTTTACAGCTATCAACGTGCGTTAGAAATCCTGACCGTTTGCAAGTTTATGAGTCATTTTTTGATGGCTGGCCATTCAGTGAAGTTTTATTACAAATTGATCCAGAACCAACACAACCACTGCCTACTGTCAGTGCTCAAAATCAGAATTCTGTTGTTGTTGCAAGAACAAAAGTATTTCTTTCAATTTTCAAATCTATCAAACAATTGTATGAGGTAAAGAACTGGTTATAATTATTGTAATTTCTTGCATGAACTATATACATTCAGCTATTAATTTACTGATTGCTTTAGGAAGAACTGCAACAGGTAGTTATAGCTTCTCCTGACTGCGTTATTATTGGAAAAGAGCCAAATTCGTTGGCAGCAATCGAACAACTGAAACTTTTGCTGCTGCTACTGCTTGGTTGTGCAGTGCAGGGGCCAACAAAAGAAAAGTTTATAGCCAGGATAAAAGAACTGGCCCTAGATTTACAACATGATATTGTGGAATGTATCAAGCAGGTAATGAGTTTTGTTTAAATACAAACAAAATATGCAAATGTAATTGAATTTGTATCTGTTTTTAAACAGATAACAGAAAGTCAAACATTAGTGCTCACATATGACTGGACTGAACAATCCCCTGAACACCTTTATGCCCATGTTAGAACGTTGGTTTGTGAACGAGACGCTATGTTAAATAAATGGGTAGCAGAACTGAATGAGTCAATGTCGTCCTCTTCGCAAGACAAGTCTAAAGTAAATACTTGTAATGAGGGCGTAGATAATAATCATTTAGCGGTCGAACTTGCTGATATGAAAGCCAAGCTTCGAAAGCAACGTCAGGAACTGGAAGAGAAGTCCGAACTCTTGACTGAATGTAAGGAAGAAGTCGATCACGTAAAAAGTTTACTAGCGAAATTGCGAACGGAAAATAGTGACCTGTTGGCGGAAGTCAGAAAGGCCAAATTATATCGAGACGAAGCCGATGCCATGCGAGAGAAAGCCGAAAAAGCGGACCGGTTAGAAATGGAGACTCAAAGATATAAGTACGTGAAAATATTGCATTTTTGTATGTTAATCCTTTGTATGCACATATATTGTAACGTACATTTTCAGAGAACGTTTAGCAGACGCGGAATTCTACAGAGTTCGTGTAGAGGAACTTCGAGAAGACAATCGTGTTTTACTTGATACGCGAGAAATGCTCGAGACCCAATTGACAAGGGCGCGACAACGAGCCGATCGCATACTCGAACTGGAAGCTGAAATCATTACTTGCAAGCGGAGTATAAATGAAATAGCTCTTGTTAGTTAAATAATAATAATTAAGTTTAAGTAATGCCGCGAAATGAAAATTATATTTTTGAATAATTTTTTGTCAGGAGAGAGATGCTGCTCGTGAAAAAATTCAGGAACTCATGGACGAGAATCTTCAACTCCAGCAGATAACTAAACTAGCTATACAGGAGGCCGCGACAACCACTATCACAGATTCCGAGCCAGACGAGGAAATGAACTCTGGTGATAACAGTCTTTCTGAACAGTTAACGAATAACGCTCAAGCTCGAACTCTAAAACTCGAATTAGAAAACAGAAGACTCCTGTCCACGATTGAATCTTTAAAAGAAGGAAACTTCCACGAAACATCAAACAAGCTATTGGAGACTGAAAAAGAAAAGAAACGATTCTCTCTAAAGTGCGACCAGTTACAAAGGAATGTGGTAAGATTAACAAAACAAAACGAAGAATTGGAGAATTTATTTAAAAACGCCTTGCAAGAAAACAAAAAATTACAAGAGACAATGGATGCGGGAAAGGCTATTTCAGACAGACAAGTACGTAGAGTAACAATAAATCATCAATCATTCAGAACATTTATTTAATTCATATATACACATATATAGGATCACTTCGTTGTCCGCCTGTTTGTCAAGACCTTTTTTATATTGCAGATACAAGAACTTCAATCGGAACGACAAAAGGTCGAAGATTTAGAAAAGTCGGTGGATAGTCTTGCAAAAGAGAAGCAAAGAATTAACAGTTTGTATGATAGCGTGAAAAAAAGGGCAGATGATGCAGAAAAAATGCTTTCTCAAGTGCTGAACGAAATTCAAATTCTTCAGATGGAGGTGGAGAGAGGGAAAGAACGGGAAAAAGGCGAAAAAGAACGCAATGAACGAATAATATTGCTTGAAAAAGAGAATTGTACTATGCAAAAGGAAATAACTAAATTAAGGGAGCTTTTAGAGGTACTTTTCTGTTTATTACTATACTTTTTCGGTTAATTACATAACTGCTGTTGTAGACAAAAGACGTGATTTTGGACGAGAAAAATCTCAAATTTGAGAAACAAGTCAAAGAAATAATTCGTTTGAATGAAGAAAAAGAAATGGCTCAAATGCAAATAGAAAAACTACAAGAATATGAGCACAGAGTACAAGAGTTGCTTTCTCAAACCGCAGTTTACACTGATACAATCGCGACACTACAAAAAGATCTTGTCTCTGAAAAAATAACGAATGAAAAGTTTAAAACGAACTTGGAAAAGCTCGGACTGAACCTAGATATTCTCGATAACGATGTGAACGTTATTATTGAAAAGATGCTCGATAATCCAGATATTTCAAACAACATCTCGTCTATGTTATTTATTCGTCAGCGTACCGAAAAACAAAACACGAAGTGTCCCGAAAAAAATGTACATGAAGAGAAGCAGGGTGAAAAGGATGGCCAATTGGATCTGTACAATCAGACGGAGACGATTGTCTCTACTGTGACTGCCGAGTGGAATAAACAGTGCGAGAAGCTTACGGCCGAAATAATCAATTTACAGCAGACCAATGAAGCTTTGCAGGCTGAAAATGCACAAATGAAAGTCGACTTGTCTACATTAACTTCCAAAGTTAATTCGTTAACAACGCAACAAACTGCACTTCAATTGGCCAACAGCCAACTCGTCGTTGAAAAGGAAGAGGTATGTAAATTATGAATTATTTCAATGCTTGTACGTGCCTAACAATATGTATTTCAGTTAATTAACGAACGAAAAATCCAAATACAGAATAGTGAAACACTTTTGCTAGATCAGACTACTTTACGAACGTTGCACGAGCAACTGAGCTCCGAATACGAACAGCTGAAACATGAAATGGATCAATACAAGAAGATAAATCGGGATTTGAAAAATGAAACTCGTTTCCTTAAAGATTCTAATGCTGGGCATGAAAAGAAACTTCATGAACTTTCGGCGGAAAAAGATGCACTTAGAAACGAATCTAAAAGCCTCATAAATCTGCGAGCGGAACATTCCAAACTGAAAGTAACTTTTGTCGATGTTTCTGTTAATGTTTAAATTTATATTAATCAATTAAAAATTCAGGATGATTTCAAGAACCTCTTCACGGCCAGCGAACGTTTAAAGACCGAGTATCGTATGCTGCAGGAAGAATATAAAAAATTGAGAGCTGAATCAGGAAAACTACGTCTAGGTCATACGGAAATGCAAGGTGAATTAAGTACCAGATCTGACATTTTAGCTGGACTGCAGCTTGAAAACGCAAAACTGCAACAACGGTGCGATGTACTTAACACAGTGTATTTTAAAAAATGAAATATGTATTTAATAAGATACATTTTAGCTTTTGTTCGAAATGAATACTTCTTTAGATGCCGACAGACGTGCTCTTATGGATCACGTATCGCAGCTTTTGTCACAATACCATTCCCTTCTCACTCATTCCCTGGAGGACAAGGAACAATTTCATATGGAAGAAAAACAGTTCACAGACAAACTAAACAATTTGTGCCGACAAAAGGAAAAGCTTGAAGAAAAAATTATGGAACACTATAGAAAATTGGACAACGCGTCTGCTAAAAAGTATAGCCGAAAAATGTTTTTTTTTATATATTATTACTGTTTAATTTTATTTTGACATAACAGAAAGGGATTCGGGGCTACACTGGTACGACGGGTGCGAAAAGCGGGTTCCGATATTATGAACAAAGTTCCCAGTAGAGTAAGTAAATAGGAACAATAAAAGAAACATTGAAAAAGTCAATATGAAACTGTTAGAACCGCAGATCTTGGCACGAAGACAACAGATTGACCCAGTCTCAATTCACTTTAGCGGGTGGGTCTGGTGGGGAGTCTGGGGGTAACGATTCGGACAATAGTATGGAAGAAACGGGCGGACAGAAGGCTGGCACCATTGCCGGAAGCTACCAGATACAGCCTTCTTTCAAAAGGTCAACCGGTAGCCTCCACATTCACAAACCAAGGGACGAAATAGCTCTGCGTCGTTCCCAAAGGGAGTTCTCATCACATAGGAACAGCCTTACAAGTATTACAAAACGGAAAAATGAATTCAAAGGGATCGTTATTACTTATTATTGTTTAAGATGACGAAATTTACATGGCACCTCATCATCTACAGCCGTCGAGCGCGATAAGTTTGGGTTCGGTGGGTTCCAGACGTACTGTTTACCTGTCAGAAGATGAGCCTGCGAGTTCGTCTACCACTAAAAATGACAATGTCCTAACAACAAGACAGTCGTCACCTCCGCCCCCTTTGCTTGTTTACAACAAAATTTCGACCGTGTACGGAGAACCCCAACGATCAATAGCGGCTGTTGAACATCAGAATACAAATGCAGCAAACACGACGTCCGACAAAGACGCGACATCAGCGAAGAAAAAGTCAGACGGTATTAAGGAGACAACGGCAACATGGTACGAATACGGGTGCGTATGACGCATTGAAAGAAGAAACTTTAAAACAACACTAACTGGAACGTATACAAAATATTAATTGGTTACTATTACTTAATTAATGATAGACAGTTCACATTATTTAATTTAAGACGTCAGAGTACGTTTTAATTTTCATCATATCGTTTTATATGCAAATATATTGTATACGGCAAAAGGGCAAATGACGCATAAAATTGATTTCTTTTTTCTTTGTTTTTAATTCAATCCAGGTCCAATTACAAGAACGATAAATAAATTGATGGTGTTTCAATTAGCAAAATTATTAGGAATGAAGAAGAAAAAAACGTTATGACGTGTAACTACCATTGCATTTAAATATTCCGCCCTTTTTTTCGAAATAAGAATTTAGTAATTAATTAGTATAATGTTATATGTATCCTTAATTTATTGATGAGTTGTCTTTCTTATATAATATCGCTTTAAACAATAAAAAAGACATTACAAAAGGATTTTAGTTTGCTTCTGTAATGGACAAAATGTCTTAAGGTAATTAAACTTTCTAGTAAGACTTACTTTTTTACAAGGTAAAATCGATGCCGTTAACGCTAACGCTGCTTCCCACTGACACTTCCATCGGCAGTTTGGACACTACACTCTACAAAATAACTTTTAGTATAAATTCGTGCAACACCGTAATGAAATTTTTATATTATACCTTTGCTTTGCCATCGTTACAATTTAAAAACCCTACACTCATTGTTTCTGTGCTATGGCCCCACATCACATGTCCCTCCTTAGACGGTTTAACATGTAGCACCAATGCGCCGCCTAACTTTTCAGACACATCCCATAAAAATCTCGAGTCTAAAAATGAGAAATAAATCTTCTATGTGGACAATTTTCTGATGAGAGCAGTTACCAATAAAATTTTCTATCATTGACTTATGAAGTGTGGTAACAGGACATGCAGCATGTTTAATATCCTTTGCTATTTCTTTAGCTAACTGGGTTCTTATTAAATACTCTCCACAGCCAGTTGTAGATACTGCCACTGAATTTTCTGATGTAGAATTGAAACTGTCTGCCCATACTCCACATGCATACAAAGCCCCCTGTCCAACACGACCTGGTTTTTTTAATATCAATCCTCCTGAAATACTCTGCCAGTTCAAAATAGCAACTGTACTATTTCAATAAGAATATTACAAACCTGAACTGCATCCGGATGCTACATGTCCATCTTTATCAACACACACTGCACCCACAGTATCCATAAGATCCTTATATTCAACAGCAGTCTTTTGCTCAAGTAATGCTTTGTATTTTTTCATTCTTTTAAATGAAGATTGGCTCATCAAGTACTTTTTGGGCACTGTTTTTATGCCAACATTTTTGGCATATTTCAATGCCCCATTACCTACTAGAAATGTTGGTGGTATAAGTCCTAGGGGTAATTTCTGTGTTTGCTTACAACAAATTTCGTATGCTAATTCAATTGGATTTTTAACTTTTTGAATTGCACCACACCCCCCATATAACAAAGTTCTACCATTCATTATAGCAGCATCACATTCCACATATCCATCGATTGTTAAATTTGACCCTTTCCCAGCATTTGTAAGCGAATTATTCTCTAAAACTACTTTAGTAATGTGTCAGACTTATCATTTAATAATAATCCAATAATGTACCTGTAATTGCTGCCTTAACTGCTTCAAGTGAAGTTCCACCATCGTTTAAAATCTTTGCACTAGCTCTGCAGGCTTGTCTAGATAGTTTATTATACTGACGACGGATTTTTTCACTGTGATATCCTGCACCACAATGAACTGCAATAACTCCACTCATGTTTTCCAGAGTATCATTCATTTATTAAAACTAAGTAAATTTCAGAAATGTTTATCATTACCACTTTTTTAAGGTTAAATAACTCTTTGAATACTTCATAGATAATAGGAATATTTCGTGGGCATACTCTTTAGTTAAGCATAGATAACTATTTTTGAAATTACAGATGATTGTGTCTAGATAACAACAACGGATATTTTCTATTATTTATTAATGCTGTCTTTGCTCACTGGTAAGTATTTACAGATGATTTACAACAAGAACAGAAAAAGAATAACTTGCAGCAAGATTGTAAATAAAAGACTAGATCATCATACGTAAAAAGGCAACAGTAACGGAGTTAAAGATAGTACACTTATTCTATGCTGCTCTATACGTTGTTTATCGGTGTCTATTATGTTTTGATCATAGGTTTTGACGTTTCTGGCGTTCTAATTGTCAATTACCATATTATCGTATGACATTGTTCTGTCTACCGACATCCTCTATGATCAACTGTTATCTGTCGAGTCCGTTGTTGTTATAAAATAATTGCGGTTTATGCTGTGAGGTTTATAATCAGTAAATTACAATCGTCTTAATTTATACTTAAAGTGATTGTGGCAGAAAAGTATAACAATAAAAATGATGGTATGCCTTCGACTTGTGGTTATCTTTTGTTTTTATTTTTTATGTATAAGGTGCACGTGGTTGTGCTTTTAACAATTTATCTTTTTCAGCAACCTCAGATACTTCTACTTAAAGAAGGAACGGATAGTTCTCAAGGGAAACCACAGTTAATTTCGAATATAAACGCTTGTCAGTCAGTTGTTGACGCAGTAAGAACTACTTTGGGGCCCAGGGGAATGGATAAGCTTATTGTTGACAGTAACGGTAAAGCCACAATATCGAACGATGGTGCTACAATAATGAAGCTCTTGGACATCATTCATCCAGCTGCAAAGACACTGGTTGATATAGCAAAGTCGCAAGATGCAGAGGTAAGAAGGTGCTGTGTTTGTAGCTGTTTGTACAAGAAAAATTGGTTTATTAGGTAGGTGATGGTACCACAAGTGTTGTTCTCTTGGCTGGAGAATTCTTAAAGCAGATTAAGCCGTTTGTGGATGAAGGAGTTCATCCTAGAATAATTATAAAGGCAGTGGGTACATCTTTACAAATATGTTTGGATAAAATTAACGAACTTGCTATAAAAATAAACAAATCTAACGCCGCCGAGTTTAAGTCGTTACTAGAGAAGTGTGCATCAACAGCAATGAGTTCAAAACTTATCCATCAACAAAAGGATTTCTTTTCGAAAATGGTGGTGAATGCAGTATTGCTTCTGGACGATTTATTGCCATTAAATATGATTGGAATTAAGAAGGTTTGTTCTTAGCCTATACATTAAAAATAATCAACTTGCACATATTGGTAATATGAAACTATTAAACAGGTACAGGGTGGTGCTCTGGAGGACTCTTTGCTTGTTGCTGGTGTTGCCTTTAAAAAAACCTTTTCTTATGCCGGTTTTGAAATGCAACCAAAGATATACAGGAAATGTAAGATTGCTCTGCTGAATATTGAACTGGAGTTGAAGGCAGAGCGAGACAATGCTGAAATACGCGTGGACAATGTCAGGGAATATCAAAAGATAGTCGACGCCGAATGGAACATATTATATGACAAATTGGAAAAGATTTGCAAGTCTGGTGCACAAGTTGTCTTGTCCAAACTTCCGATAGGAGACGTAGCAACTCAGTATTTTGCAGACAGGTGAATTTCTTTTTATTTAGATATAAAAGGACTAGACAAATATTCAAATTCTCCTATTCAAAAAGTTATTTATTTTGCTCTGCAGTTCCAGGGCTATGCAGTTTTTGGAACTCTATTGATCATAGTTTGAAATCAATTGATATGATAGGAGTACTCAAAGACAATTTACGGAAACTTATTTCTTTTTATAAATAAGTTATGCTATCGTTTTTTGTTTGAGCGTGCATTACCGTCTTATACATTTTTATCTTTTAATTTTGTTAAGAGCATAATTGGTTAATAAAATTAAATTAAATATAAATGGAAGGCAACTGTCAACTTAATAAATATTGTCTAATGTTGAAAATTCGCTTTTAGGGACATGTTTTGTGCTGGACGCGTTCCCGAAGAAGATCTGCGACGTACGATGAAAGCTTGCGGTGGTGCCGTTATGACCACTGTCAACGACCTCAGCGATAACGTTTTGGGAAATTGTGACTTGTTCGAGGAGCGCCAAATTGGCGGGGAGCGCTATAACTTGTTCCAAGGTTGTCCTAATGCGAAAACGTGCACCATTGTACTTCGCGGAGGTGCCGAACAATTTCTTGAAGAGACAGAACGATCGCTGCATGATGCCATCATGATCGTTAGAAGAACAATAAAAAATGATGCCGTGGTAGCCGGTGGGGGTAAATGAAATTTTAAATCGCTGTACTTTCTGCCTTATCATTATATCAATTTGCTGTTTAGGTGCAATTGAAATGGAATTATCGCGCATTTTACGAGATTATTCGCGCACGATACCCGGAAAAGAGCAACTGCTGATCGGAGCCATAGCAAAGGCATTGGAAGTGATACCCCGACAATTGTGCGACAACGCCGGTTTCGATGCGACTAACATATTGAATAAGTTACGTCAAAAACATTCCCAGGGGCACCGTTGGTATGGAGTGGACATAAATCGCGAAGATATAAGCGACAATTATGATGCATGCATTTGGGAACCGGCCATTATAAAGGTAAACGCATTAACTGCTGCATCTGAAGCCACCTGCCTTATCTTGTCTGTCGACGAAACGATCAAGAACCAAAAATCGGGCGGTGACGGTCCCGCCGCGGGTCCTATGGGCAGGGGCATGGGCAGGCCTATGTGAATGGTTGAAATATGTTATTTACTTCAAACCAATAATTACATTAACTGTAATCCTACAGAGGGAAATAAAAGTTACCTGTTCGTAGGACTATCTATACTAATACTATTATGTTCTCCTTCAAATATTCATTTAACATTGTCGTTGTCGTGTTATTTTGCATTTAAATATGTACGTAGTACCCATGATCTTAATATGATACATATTTTTTTTTTTGTATGCTTTCGTATAATAAAAACTTCTGACTAATTAATAAATTTAATTCTGAATGCATTTAATTTTGTTTATTCATGGTTCTTTCCCCTTATCAGTCACTGTGAGCAATTAGTTTAATCACTTTGTGTGTTAAAAATTGTTTTAAAAATTAAATTTAAAGGGTTTGTAATAGGTATGCAACACATCCTACACTTCAGTATAAAAATTGCCGATATTGACTCATTTACATAATACCAGTTTACCCCTGTGCGGACAGCACTCGAATTTCTTTTATATACAATAATATATTAACAGAAGATACGAATTAGGTAATAGTGAACCTTTTTATTCCTTTTTTAATATAAAAACCTTAAAAGATAACGGCTTACCTGTAAATTACAACCTTTTAACGTAATTTAAAAAATACTTCACGTCTGTAGCGTACTGTTCGTTTGTTAAAGATTTATGTTCATTATTCAAAAAATGCACAGACAGCTGACCATCTCTTGAAGCAATTATCTGTGGGAAAAATCGTTTAATTCGAAGAGTCGACACATTTAATTAGGTACTCAATAAGATAATTAATTACCATGTATATTTTTTGCCTTTTCTGGGGTGTCGTTATTTTAATTGAGACGACATTTTCTTTGAAAGGTATCGAATAAATTGGAAAAATATCGCTAAGCGCCAAATTCCACACGTGCAAGATGTTTTTATTATCTTTGGCGTAAAAAATACAAGGCTTTTCACTGGACCACTGTACCGTATCAATACTCGCCCATTTTCCGTTACCCCCATTAGATAAAATTATCAGCGACTTCTGAACATTTCGAGAAAAAAGAGCCACCTTACCGTTTTCATAGCCCGCGATGAAATATGTACTCGAAAAGGGACAGCAATCAATTGAGGTGACGACTGATAATTCATCTGCAAAAAGAACTACTGAAATTACTTTGAGAACAAAAGACAAACGCATTGTGTATTTTATTACCTGTGTTGTAATATTTTGGGTAGATTTTACTGCCAGTCGAACAGCAATGTAATATTCTATCGGAATTACTTAAGATGAATAAGTGGGTCGGGTCTAGAAGATTAAAATATAATCTCTTAAACTCCAGGCCGTAGTATGGGTTCGAGCAAACCGTTTTTAAACGCAGTTGAGAATTTTGAACCAAAGACACGTTCCATTTTGGGTATTTTTTCGTTACTGTCGTCCAAAAGACCACCAGTCCATCTTCGTCCAAAGAATGCACCTGTCTCAACGAATTATTTAAAATAAACATATACAGATGTATGTAGGTAAGTAGGTAATATTTAAACACAAAAAATGTTGGACAGTACATTAACTAATGCCTCTATTACCTTTTCTTCGAGATGGTCCTTTTCTGAGTCGTTATTCGATACACAGAGAACCGACGTAACTGTCGCTTTATGACTTTCGTTTATTTTTGTTTTAAATGAAGGCGACGAAATACAACGGTACTTCTCGTTTGGACTTCCATTATTCGTGTCCCACAACGATAGAGTCCTAAAGATAAAAAAATTATACCGTTACCATATATTTAAAAATCGGTACGGGCGTTTCTATTATTAATTGTTAACCAACCCGTCTCTGAAGCCGACGAAAACATAATTGATATGTTCGTGTCCGAAACTAGCGCAAGTCGGTCGTCCCAAGATTCTCAGCAGGGCAAGCGGTTGTTGTAATGAAGAAGCGTTCCAAATACAAATGTAACTCAATTCAGTAAACTTTTTATTATTTGGTAAATGAACTGTGAGAAAGTTGTTGCTGTTTGACGTGTAAAGATCGATTACGGAGGTGTTGTGTAAAATATCTAAATCCTGGGCACACTTTTTTGTACTTCCTGCGCTGAAAAACTCGTTTTCGTTTGTAATCGAGTAAGTTTTCTTAGGGTGACGATAAAAAAGTTTATTAGTCTCATTATTTAACAGAGAAAGAACTATTACGGCGGAACTATTTATAGAATTTACAAATTTATCTGAAAGGTAGTAAGAAGTTTCTGCTTGTATTTGTTCGACTTTCGAATCGTTTCCCACGCCTAAAAATTCTTGTTTATAATGTTCCCAATTCGGTCTTTGTTGTTCAGAAAATTGTTTTGTTGAGAAAACGACAGGAATATGTGTCCATTTTGTTATATTAACGATCTCGTCTGTCTGTACGCTTTCGTCTACATTACTCGTCGCAACAGTTTGAATTGCGCATTGTATCCCAAAAGTTTGCCCATGAATTTGAATGAATTGCTCGTAAGGAACGGGCGTCATTTCGAATGTGGTGAAGTAACACTTGTTAAATTTTATCATTGCCTGTATTTCTTTCCCTCTGTGCTTTTTATACATAAGACGCCTTTGCTCTTCAAACCTGGACTTTTCGAAACGGTAACCATGGAGCTTCTTCAAAACGGTTTTGTCTTCATCATATCCCTCGTCTGATAATGATGAATTAGACGGTGGCAGATGCGACAATATTTCTTGTATAGCTATCGTGTTGTTCGTTTTAACAATTTTTTCTTGCAAATCAAAACTTCCAGAGTCCAACTTGCGCTCTTTACTAATATAATTTGTTCGACGAAGAGCATCGATTGCATCATTATTGCAATCCTCTCCCGCCATATTACTACCATTTTCAATTAGGTTTCTCATGCTCTCCGAAATCGAGGATGTCGACTTACTTGTATTACTGTCCGTCTTTTCTTCTTCCTCATCTTCATCTTCAAAATCTGATATGTAAGAATCGAAATCGTCTTCGTAATTAACTTGTTCTTCTTTTGATGCCTTAACTTCTTCGCGTGGTAAATTTATTGTCAATTGTGTGACAGTCGCTTCTTTTAGAGTCGCTGTTCTGGGCCTTTCCATTTCTTTTCCGTCTATCTTTAAATAAACGTCTGGTTTCGTATTGTTTGCTTTACTCAACTGGTTGTTAATTCCCTTTTTCATTTTTTCTTCCCTTACAACTCTATGTATTATATCTTTTTGACTTGGAAAATATTTTGTTTTCGTTACGGAGCCGGCCCTCTCTTCTTCTCTTCTTCCCAATCGCAAATGATTCACTTTATTCTTACTGATTTTTTTAATAGTAGAATCTGACGAAATGCGAGACATTCCTTCCAGTTTAGATAGACTGCTCTCATGTTTATCAGACGGTAAGAAAGATGTGACAGTTTTGCATTTTTGATCTGTAGCCTCTAATATTTTTTTCTGTCTGCTTTCTTTCGCACCATTATCATTTGCTAATGCACTTCTTTTGTCTCGCAATTGTCCAACCCTTCTTTCGGTCGTTTTACTCTTGGTCGCTTCATTCTAAAATCAAAAAGTGTTTAATTTATAACAGCTTAGTATATTAAATGCAATAAATAACTCACCTTTCGTAAATTAGACATAAAACTTATTAACAATAAAATCAGAATCAATTGAGACACAACAGACTGTTATTGTTATTAATGAACAGCGCGATCGTAACTAAGTAGCAACCGATTTCTGCCACTATAAAATCGATAATACACATAACGTGTTTCAAATACAAAAGAAACATTAATTTTTTTTTTCATTTATATGTTATATTTTATCAAATTACACATAAAAAAATGAGGTAACTTTAAATCCTAAAACAAAAATAAGTAGTAACATGTGACAATAACCAATATTTAACGCATTGGATGACGAATACTGACAGCGCAAATTATTACTATTTATATATTTTTTAATTAATAAATCGGAATACGAACGTGGCATCGTATCGGTGTTCTTAGAAACGGGTCCCTGCTGTAAAGAGGACGTGGTATCGTGAAAAAGCACATCGGAAATTCCGTCGAATAGCCCGAACATGGTCATAGTGTTTGTAAACGAACGATAATTTTTACCGAACAAATTATCCATCTGCAGAAAAGCATCCAAAGTGTCTTTAATCCATATATCCGAACTGTTATTTCGTACCATGGCCTGACCCACCGTTGCCCAGCTCATGTGGCACCAATCCTCGTGCTGTTCATAATAGTAGCTCATTTGGCTCTTTCCATATTCGCTTTCGTCACACAACACTTGAAAATCTGACTTTTGTACTTTATTATTTTTCGATTCTTTAACATCTAAAAGTCAATAATAAAAAAATAGCATGGCACAAAACAACTGGTTGAGTCAAATTTACCGCTGAAAAAGTTTTCAAAAGAATTTTTAGAAACGAACGCCACATCCCCATATCCGCTGATTAAACAGCGTAGTGCTCCAAAGTCACCACCATCAAGGAACTCTTTTTTACAGCCTCCATTGCGCTTCGACTGGTCGAGTGTGGGCGACGGAATACAGGAGTTTTGGAAAAAATCCGATAATAGTTCTAAATCTGTTTTGCACTCGCTCCAACTAGTATAGTTTCTTAGTTTATATGCCACCGTATTAAACGCGATCCCATCATAAGTAGGAAAACAGCTTTTTGTTCTTTTAAGGTCCGAGAATTGCACAAATCGATTTGATATTCTCGTTATGGCTACCGTCAAATATTTATCCTTCTTTGACGAAACTGTTTCGTAAAATAACGGTTTGAGATCATAAATTCTGCAACAAATTAACAACTAAATAACTAGAAATCTAATTTAACGATACCTACTTTTTAGCTTGGTGCGCTTCATCAGGAGAAATAATTACTACGTCCACTCTGTCGTTTTGCACAGCCGACATGCAATGTGTTTTGTTATCGGCTTTTAAACAGTCAATACCTGGTTCTATTCCGTAAACGGCCGCGGCCTCCCGCAACCAACCGCACTTGGCATTTTCTATGTTCGACGTCGTGCACACACGAATCAGTCTCGGAGGGTGACAACCTGTATTATACATAAACCAATGTAATACAAATCCTTATTATACAAATAGGATTGTGTCAGACCTGAAAAACTGTTAGCGCTCAGGTATCCGGGGGCTCTGTCTAAATAACTTTCGACAGCTTCGATAGGACTTACATCAACGATTTTTATGTGGTACGATTCAATCAAGTCGAGGAGCGTGGAGTGCCACGAAGAAGCTGTTTCATGTGTTAATGACGACACCAGCTGTTGGATCTCTTGCGCCATCGTTCTGACAATAAGAACAAAAATGTAGTTTTTTACATAAAAAACATACTTATTACGCACCTTCTTGTTGCGACAACGGGCCAGGGTTTTACCACCCACGTGCACGGGAGTGAAGTGTTAAGAGGCAATACGGTCCCATCGAGGCAAAGGTAACTGTACTTGTCGATTTCGTTGTTGGTAAAATTAAAATGAACTCGAACATCGTCCAAGCGCGCCCAGGCGACGTCACCGAAGCCGTCTGTTAAACAGAAAAGGGGTCCGCGACGGCCCCAATACTTGTCGTTTATCGAACACTCGGTTCGATCGCCACACAACGCGCAAAGATTGTTATATTTCTTTTCTATAAGGTATACAAATAATGTTAGTATGACGATTAATACCGGAAATGGATTATTTTAATTTACTTAATTGTCTATCAGTAATGGGGTCGTTTACCCAGGGGCCTGCCTTACAGGCCGCGTAGAAAAAATCTGAAGAAGTCTTGATTTTATTTTCCATCACTGTTAGAGAAGGAATGCACTTTTGAGGAACCACGTTACTTTCCAAATACTAAAAAGAAAACACCTAACTTCATAATTTAGTCACCTTTTTTATTTTGTAACTTACATTAGCTAAAATTGTCGTCCAATCGGTTTCGTAGCCGTATCCTGGATGGCACAATTTCTTGTCCTTAAGATCGTGTTTGCTTGAGATACCGGCATCGTTGTTAATCACAGCAACAACTTCGTATTCGAAATTATCTAAAAAATATTATAATAAGGTATACTATTTATTATCTCTCTTATTTAATTTACCGTCTGTAAATCTCATTTCGTTTGTGATCAGCATTTCCACACCTGAATTTTGTGCGGTAACCAAGTCTTCGGGAGTAAATATAGACCAGTCTGCATGTCCTTTGGATATTTTTCGTAAACAATCTAAGCTGTTAAAGTTTTATTTGTTTTAACACTATTACTATAAAAAAAAAAACTAAAACCGTTCTTTTACCGATCTAATCCAATTACACATTCCACCTTACTGTTCGCATTCTGATCCAGTAAGGGACAATATTTAGATGCCTTCTTGAAACTTCCTCGCCCATCTACGACACAAACTTTGACTAAAAAAAATAAATTAGTTTTTCTCAATTTCAAAGAAAACTTTATTTATATATAACTGTATTAATACTGATCTTTTTTCGAGTTTTAATCCCGTGGGTATTACTTGTTTTAATAAAACCCAAAAAAAGATTAATATTAAAATAATCTGATCGTAAATATTATTTTTGTGTATTTATATTATTATGTTTAACAAATAAAACGTAACACTCACATTTCTCAACCGCCGTCAAAGGCACTGCCGATGTTATTACTGATCCCTCGTAAAAAAAGAAAAAAAACAAAACTCCAATATTCTTTGCAATAGCCAATTTCGACATATTAAATATAAAGTAGTCCCTGCTTACGGCACAATAACGGTAAAGTAATTACACCTAAACTACACAGAAAACTTCGAGTTTCTTTGCAATTAAATTAAAAAAATATTTGCGAATGTCCTCGATGAATTATTTTCAATGAAATGTTTTATTCGTTTGAACGATTGCATATTAAAATAAAGCGTGAATATGTAGGTGTGTGTGTGCGCGTTTATGTTGTCATTTAATATGTATGTATATTCCTCGTCAGTAGTTTTCGAAACTGGAAGACAACAGACATAAAAAGCACATAAAACATAATTTACGTGATTAACACATATCAAACTCGTATTTACACAACTTTTCCTCTGTGTATAAACGATCATGTGTGCGACATAACTTGTCGTTACAAGGTCGAATTCTCTGCCTTTTAATTCAAACCGCCGCGCAATCTAATGACTAAATTTCATTTTAAACGAGGGTTTTCCCAAATTACTTAATACACGACTCGACGAAAAGAATAATGACGTAACAGACAGCTAGGAAAAACTGAAAACTAGTAAAGTAAAAGTTTATACGGTCATATATTTTATATAATAAAGACAGAAAAGTATTAAATACCAATATAAAATAATAAAATGATTTAGTTTTATTTTATAGTCTTACCTTACTTTAGGGTAATTGTACTACATAAATGTGCTTATGTATAAGTAGAAATATGACCTAAGTGGTAAAATGCCGGTCATTTATTCGCCGCCACCTCCAGCATTTTCTCATAATCGATAATTTTCTCGCGAGGCTTTCTACACCTTTGTCCTGCCTTCTTTTCATAGTCGTCAATTTTAAGCCAATCTGCCCAAGTTACCACTTGTATGTTTGCCTTGTTCAATTTATTCCTAATGCTTTCATATCCTGGTTTATCCCAGACAGTCTTGTTTTTTTCTATTTCCTTACAAATCACTTCTGCGGTGTTAAAAGCATTCGTCATCGTCGACAGGATAACGCCCGTAGGACCAGTCGCGACCCAACCGGCAGCGTACAATCTGTTGTCGATTTTTCCATTTTGATTTATCACCGTTCCCTTTTTGTTATCGAATGGTAAACTACTATCAATTGTGACTGCTTTATAACCAATGCTTGTTACTATCAAATCTGATTGTAGCATTTCTCTGGTATTAGTTAAAGAAATCGTCGTGTCACCTTTGTCTGTTTTTTCCAACCTATTAATTCCCAAAGTTATAGTTTTTCTTATACTATTATTTAAAACATTTATTTCTAGCGGTGATTTGTAGAAGACCGGAAAGAATTTCTTTTCTGAATACTGCTCCCTTTGAACTTTAATTGATTGTAACATTAGGTCTGTTAAACGTTTTCTGGGTCGTTCCAGTGAGGGTAAAACCGATTCCACTCCCACAAAATCGTTCTCATTCCAGTACGTTCCACAGCCTTTTAGTTTTAACATCTCTCTCAGTTCCTTTATTGTAAAGGCTGCTTGCAGAGGACCTCTTCTGCCAATTAAATGGACTTCTTTTATTTTAGATGACATCAAGCTCTCAAGTGCATGTTGAGTAATGTCTGTTTCCTAAAATATATTAGTAATATAAATGTGGCGAGACATTGAATGCTATAAGAAGTACCTTTAAATCATCAACTGGTTTTAATAATATCCTTGCAACATCAATAGCAACATTTCCTTGGCCAATAATTGCTACTTTTTCACTAGAAAAATCGATTTTTAAACCTGCTTCTTCGGGTAAACCATTGTACCAGCCAACAATTCTTCTCGCCGGAATAACATTTGGTAAATTTTCGCCGGGTATGTCGAGTTTACGATTAAAATTTGCTCCATAAGCCTAAAATGGTTTTTCTATAATAATATGGGAAAGAGATATATCACTGATGTATAAACTGATAGGTACATGTTGGTACGTTATAATAGAATGAAGGAAGAAAAACAGTTTATTTACAATTGATTTAAATAAATAAGTAAATAAAACAAATGTTACTTACAAGCAAAACATAATCGTATGCCTCAGTTAAATCACTGATACTAACATCTTTGCCAATGGAAATGTTACCTTTAAATTCTACATTTGGATGTTCAGCAGTCAAAAAAAACTTAGAAATCACATTTTTAACCTCAGGATGGTCGGGGGCAACACCAAATCTATCATAAAAATGAATAAAATTTAAGCTTGCTTATTCTACAATCAACATATTCTAATTTAAGATTTGGTGATATGGTTTCCCATACAACAGTATGATAAGAAAATGATTGAGGCTGCAGCATAGATTTATGAAATCAATATCATGGACACTTGCCTTTTGAATGATTTTGATAATAATAATTATGCTGCTATTGCAAATGAGTTAAATCTTAGTACATTAACTTCTTTAACAGATCAACAGGATCCCATGCTATTCTAAACTACTGAAAGGATATATTGCATCAGTTAATTTGTTATTCCAAATCAATATTCAAAGTTCCTCAATACATACTGAGAAATCATGTTGAACTGTTTCAATTATTTTGTAAGTAAATAAATAATACAAGGTTTCATCATAGATCTCTGCTGTACAAACCACGTAAATTACTTAATATGAAAAGGGGATTACCGGATGCATTAAATGGAATCAACAATTTAAAATCATTTAAAAGGATTTCCAAAGAATTTATGTATTCATATGACGGATAATGTAGGCTCTTCAACGTTAACAGTATACAGTACTTTTTCTTGGGTGGCTTAGTATTTCCAGTTTTTTCATTTTTACTTTTTAAGCAGTCAGATATTGTATGTACCAAGGTTACTTAATTGTATGCTTTTGTAGTTCGAACTGTACTGTCTGCAGTTTATCAATAAATAAATAAATCTATCTACCTTACTAAACCAAATGGAACGGGCAGCTTTTCAAATATGCTGACTTGAATATCTTTTATTCTTTTAACAAAATGTTGGGCACAATAAAATCCAGCTGCACCAGCCCCTACAATGCAGATTTTTGGTGTTTTCTTGCCAATATTACTGAAGTATCTTAAAATTTGAAAATTATAAATCATTTCAACTTCTTAGTCAAAAGATTAATAATTAATATTTAATTATTTCAAAATCTAGTAAATACAACATGAAAATCACGATAAAAACCACTACCGAATTATAATAAGTGAATAATGAACTTTTAAAAAAAGAAATTTCAAAAATTAACCGCAGGATTAATCGATTGATTTCCCTTTTTCTTTGTCTTTGACCATAGACAAGATCCTTGAAAGTTGACCATAGGTTGACCTTACAGTTGACACATTTGACAATTTATTTCGTATTCCATAGACTGATCATAGATAAAATGCTGAATGATTTTTTATCATAGAGATAAAACATAGAATCTAAAGCACATCCATAGAGCATGCTATGCAAAAAAGATAGTCGACTAAAAAAGATAATAGATCAAGTCAGTCCATCTGTGATCTAAAATCAGTGATAGTCCTTGTTTATTCTAAAATGTAATTATCTTTGATTTCTTGATGTAGACAGACGTATAGTGTCAGCCAGGACTGATCATCTATGGCCATGTATATTAATTATCTATGACTGCGACTTCTAACTACAACCACGGCATCTATACACAACATCTACAACTATGAATTTTACCATAGAATTTATAACCTTACTTCAAAGACCAATGTATCCCCATTTACCCAAAAAATTAAGTTATATATAATATACGCTAAAATAAATTTAATTTTAATTGAAATTAATTACTCTTTACTGAAGATTAAAAATGCGTAAATTAAAATATCACGAGCAGAAGTTGCTGAAAAAGGTGGACTTCATACATTGGGAAGTTGATAACAACTTACATGAAGTGAAAATCTTAAAAAAATATTGTATACAAAAACGAGAAGACTATATCAAGTATGAAAAAGAAATGGTTAAAAACTTCTAGTGTTAATTTTTTATTTTTGTTAGGTACAAAAAGTTAGCACGTGATATTAGAGAACTGGCACGTAAAATAAAAGAAATTGATCCAAGACACCCATTCAGGACTGAAGAAAGTGCTCATTTATTAGAGAAACTGTAAGTAATAGATGTATAATTGAATGTAGGCTTTCACGGCCGGCGGTTAGTTGATCAGTATTGTATTCCAGGCTGAAGGGCCTTGGTCTGTTTGGATTATCTCCTAACGTTTCGTTTACAACTACAGTAGACATTTTCAAAGGCGGTGTAGTAAACGATGTGGTATTCGAATTTGAAAATGTCTACCACCCTTCAGCCCAGAATCTGTGTGTGAATGTGCATGAAGTAAACGGTTTCAGATATTTAATGGGGCTTATTCCAACACGATGGGACTTAAGTTTGGCAGAGAAGGTGACTGCATCCTGCTTTTGTAGAAGGCGTTTGCCCGTTGTCATGGTCAGAAGTAAGTAATTTTTAATAATTACTGTAAGGGATGTTTTGCAATATTCATTTTCCATAATGCAGATAAAATGTCCGAATCAATAAAAGGAGCAACAAAATTAATAGAACAAGGACATGTGAGAATAGGCCCTGAACTGATAAAGGACCCTGCATTTCTGTTAACTAGGACACATGAAGATTTTGTGACATGGGTCAACAGTTCAAAAATTCGAAGACATATATTGGAATATGAAGGACTTGTAAGTTAATGTTAATTGTATGTTATTCGTTAATTTTTCTCTTTTGTTTTTAGAGGGATGATTTTATTATATAAATGGGGTGAAAGTTAGAAGGCCAAACTTGTTTAGTTAATTATCTCTCTAATAACCATTTAAGGGTAAAATTTTGTTACCCCTGAAAGAAAATATACATCCAGGGTTTTGTATAAGTCGTTTATGAAATTGATTAAATGTAATTAAAATTCAATTTTAAATAGCCATGTTGCATTTAAAATTAAAGGTTTCATTTTTTAACATTCTTTTGATTTTAAAAAAATATCATTAATTTACTAACAGAAAAAGAAATTTACTTACAATTTATTAGATCGGTCAGTGTCTACACTATTTGTCCTCCAAAAGATTTTCATTTGGTAGCTCTTTAACTCCATGAACAACTTTTAAATGCGTTTTAACATAGGCAGTTTCAGTGAATGTCTTGTAACAAATAAAGCATATGTGAGGCCCAGGGTGGCACTGTATGTGCACTTTTAAATTATGTGTCTTTGTAAATCCCTTCCCACAATATTTACAAGTGTATGGCCGATAACCAGTGTGAGTCATTTCATGGCAGTCCACTTCTCCCTTGGATCGAAAGGATTTGTCGCAGTAGCGACAACTGTAGGGTCGTACACCTGTATGTGTTCGAATGTGCCTCTTTAAACTGCCTGCCATTGTAAAACGTTTTCCACAATAAGTACAAACGTACTTTTTTTCACCTACAAATTAATTAGTAGCATCAAAAAAGTTATTTTATTTTCATAAAGTGCAAAAAAACCGTAAGACATGCAATGTGCAAATTGCTTTTGTAGTTAACCAATATTGTACAGATAATTAAACATTACCTTTGTATTTATTCAAACATGTAAAATATTCAAATCAATTTATCTATTACATTAATATGGTAAGTGTATAAGAAGAAAAGTAGAATAAGGTGATGTTTAATTATATGTACAATATTTAACTTACTTAGTGTTATTATTATCATCAGTTTAAAAATGCTTACCTGTATGAAGTCTCATGTGATATTCTAAAGCATTTGAATAACTGAACCTTTTACCACATCTTGTACACAAATATGATTTATTTGCCAAATGGATAGCATTTATATGAACTTGTAGATTACTGCTATACAAGTACTTCTTCCCACACAGTTTGCACTCAAACTTCTTTTCCATGTGTTTAGAGATGTTATGATTATAATAGCTTGACTTTGTCTTGGCAATATGACCACACAAGTGGCACAAAAATGTATTTCTATCATACCTCTTCTGATGGTCTTCAAATACTAATTGACTGCTAGAAGTCCTCTTAAACTTTCTGCATGCAAATTGATTGATGTCTTTAATTTGGCTGACATAACTATCAGTTTTAATGATTTTGTTTTTCTTAAAGTTACTAATCTTTTCAATTGATACAGAATAAGTGTCCCTAAATTTGTTGATGTCTTTCTTTCTGCTGTTTTTATGAACAAATTCAGCCGAAATTTCAGTTCCTAAATTTTTAAGAAAACCACTAAATGAAGACTTTTCTTCATTGTTATTGCCTTCAATAACAAACAAGTCTTTTAGATCAAATCTTCCACTTTTAGATATTATTTCTACAGATGCTGAATCTACATCTTCTTGTATTGGCCGAGCTTTAGCGATTTCTAATTTTGAGAGTTCCCAAAATTCAGTTAGCAGTTTTTCAGACTCCTGACATTGCAATTTAAATCCGTAGGCAATTTTCAAATTTTCCAAGCACTCCGAACATATGAAAGTACAAATATCTCCAGCAAGTTCTATAATCTAACAACTTACATTATAACTTATAACATCAAAATATACATTCGTAGACATAAAACTTACACTTTTTCCCAATACTTCTCTTAAGGCATTATAAACAAAAATGTTCTGGAAGAATCCTTTTTCTATTTTATCATATACACTTATTAAAATGTTTGCTTCTTTAAAACAAATTCTGCATATACAATTTGAACTGTTAGCGGAAATTTTATGTGATATTTTTTGGCTCATTTTGATTGTGGGTTACACATTAATCTATGGTCACGCAAAATAGATATGGTTATGTCTAGTTCACCTGGGTCTGGGTTGAAGAAATTTACTATAAATAATATTTATTTTATTAACGCAAGTAAATGTTTCAATTTTTCTAAATACATTAGAATATCATGAAAACATTGCACTGTTATTATAATAGTGTCAAGAAGTAATAAAAAGTTAATAAAATAGGCTAAGCATGGCCAGTGTTTATGCAGACACTATTTAGGTAGAAGTTTTTCATTTTCTTTGATTAAAATATCTATGATCTCAAATAACCTCAAAAAAAGTTTGAATTTTAAGAACATTTTTCGTATGTTTAATAGTATAAGAAATGTATTTTTTTCGTGTGCGGTAGGAAGTGCAATAAAAAAGTTAATTCAGAAAGAGTTGTACCATAAAAATATGTCCAAATTTTCGAATTTGAACCCCCCAGACCACGTACGTGGCATGACTATTTTAGACAAGTCCAAGTTTAACAAGATGATAAACGTTCCTGTTATTAAAATAAGAGGTTTGAAAGTGTCGGATGTGCTACCGTTTTTAAAAAATTATCTACTGAAACTTGAAAAGTTTCAGCCTGTTACTACAACAAATAATTCCGAAGTGCACGTTTTACTTAACCCCGAAATCATCAAAGGATGGTTAGATATTTTATTAGAAGATCGCGAGTCTTTAGAGTTAATAAACGTCAAAGAAGAGAATTTAGATTTCCATATGTTCACTTTAACGTATGAAAATTTCTCGGCAAATACAATTTTAAAAGCAGTTTTACCTGTGGATAAAGAGGGTCTTAGTAGTTTCTCTAAAATCGGACATATCGTTCATATAAACCTTCGGGAGCATCTTCTCCCCTACAAGTCCTTTATCGGGCAAGTGTTATATGACAAAGTACCAAACGTAAGAACTGTAATAAACAAAGTTGATATTATAGATAACACTTATAGAAATTTTAAGATGGAAGTTTTATGCGGTTACAACGAAATGATGGTAAAAGTTAAAGAAAACAAGTGCTTTTTTGAGTTTGATTTTTCGTTCGTCTATTGGAATCCTCGTCTGTGTACCGAACACGAAAGAATCATAAATTTATTACACGAAAACGACGTTTTGTTTGATATATTTGCAGGTGTAGGTCCCTTTGCTATTCCTGCTGCTAAGAAGAAATGCATAGTTTATGCCAATGATTTGAATCCGGAGTCGTACAAATGGCTCAATCATAATGCTTCTCTTAACAAAATTCGAAGTAAAAACTTGCAGACATTTTCAAAAGACGGTCGGGACTTTATTTTGACCGATTTAAAAACTAATCTTAAAAAATATATCGTAAAAAACGAAACTAATAAAGACGAGACATGTTCTGTTCATATAACTATGAATTTACCGGCATTAGCTGTCCAATTTGTTAAAAACTTTTATGGCCTCTACACTCCCGAGGAATTAAATAAACTAGCAACAGTTCCGATGGTTCATGTGTATTGTTTTACGAAAGGGGAAAATCCGCATCAAATTGCACGTTCTATCCTTCAAAACAGTATGGACTGTGATATTTCTGATTGCATAGTTGATGTTTTTAAAGTGCGCACAGTTAGTTCAATGAAGGAAATGATGCGGGTTTCTTTTAGGATTGAGAGAGATATTTTAACCGGTCAGAGACCACGTTTAATCAAAAGGAGAATTGACAACATCACTTTGATAACTCCAGAGGTTCCAGTAAAAAAAGGTTAGTGTACTTGTTCTGTTAAAACATGTTGGAAACTATTTTAAAGTATTTAGTTGCAGTGTGTCATGAAGAAGAAATAGAAGCAAAAGAATACAGTTTGCAGTGTCCTGAAAAAAAACAACAAACACAAAATTAAAAATCTCATGAAGTTAAATACAACGTTTTAAAAAAGTTAATATACCATGTTATTTCAATTTGTAAGGACAATTTTAATGTGATGATTTTGCAGAAAATAGCCAAAGATAATTTAAAAATAACTGGTGGATAGAATAATAATAATAATAATATTCATTCTCTCATCTCGTAAATACATTCGCTATACATGTCGTTAACTTTAGAAGAGAGCCTTCACTATTCTACATATAAACAAAAGTGATCCCATCACCAATTTTGAAAAAGTTCAACGTCAAGAAATAGAAAATCCAAAGATAAAAGAAGAATCTAAAGTTGTCTAAACCAATCACAGCAAAATGAAATTTTAATTTGAATAAGTAAACGAAATATCAGATTCTTATGAATTATATTTATTATTTAAATATATATATTTACTTTATATAAGAAAACAACTATTTTTTCTTTGGTGGTCCTTCCATTTCTTCCAGTTGCTGCTTTAAGTCTAAAAGTTCCTTATCTGGCACATAACGGATCTCTTCGTGGAAATCTTCATGATTAACTACTTCTACCGTTATACCAGCAGGTAAACTGCTTTTTATAAGTCTCAAAAATACTGGTAAAACGGAAGAAGTGACGTCCAACATTTGAAGTGTACGCTGATAGATTTGAAACTTATATTGAGTGTCAACTATTTCACTGAGTGGTTTAAATGTAGTTACTTGCATGCTTTGTGGAGGTAAAGCCCAAGAATCGGAAATTTCAATATCCATACTTCTTGCAATATGATGAAGAAGTTTTTGGCAATTCTCCACAACAGTGTAATCGTAACCTCGAATTTGGACATTCACACAATTATACAAAGGGATTGGAGATTTAAGAGCAGTTAAATAATCTGGTTCGTAAACATCTAAACCGTAATTCCTTATAAAATTATTGTTTTTAATGGATAAAATCCGTTGTATAAATAACCGACTTTTGTTCATTTTAGAGGTTATAATCTGCACCATAGATAACATCTGCACATATAATAAGTAATCTGTTATAACCATAGACAAATTATAAGCAAGATCATAGATTAAAGCAAGATCTTAGCCGCAGGTTATAATTTATAATCATAGATTAAAGGCAGCTGTTGAGATTACTTATAGTTACATTAGAGGGCATTAAAAAGATTAATTTATTCCTTGTTCCTCTTCAAAAAGTAATTATTTATAAGCAGTTTTCCTTTGCATATCAGGATTCACAAACGATTTCCGATCGGTTTATGATCTGACGTTAATTTTATAAATAAATATAAGTCCAGAATGATTTAATAAAATATTTATGAAAGTACGTAGTGTTCAGTTTACTCAATCATATCAAATTCAAAAATTACTGGAGGTTTATTATTATTGGTTAAAATTTTGATGTAATGTGAGACGTACATTTAGTCACTACTTCTACTGCAACTCTATTACATATCCTTGTCTATGGTACATGTTTCTTATCTATGGATACTCTGTTCGATAATCAAAATGGTGCTTAACTTTTCAGCATTAAGTACGTAAAACTGCAGAACTGTAATTTAAAAAACAATGTGGAACTTATTTTAAAACGAATTAAAATTGTTGACCGATGTGATTAGCAAAGTAAGCAACTGATTATGCTTAATATTTCCTGTCGCCAATATTGTGAGAATTTAGTATTTTAGCAGTATGTTATCAGACGAAGGCGAAGCGGATTCTTCTTCAAAATGTAAAACCACTATTACGAATAGAGACTCATCTAGCGATGATCTCAGAAGAACTGCTTCTAGGAAGAGGAAAAGTAATTTTTGTATCGAATCGAGCGATTCGGATAGCGACAGTTCATTGGCAAGGGTCGTCTTAAGAAAGAAGAAACCAGTAAGTGTTGTTGGTATTGTTCTCGTTTAAAGATTGTTATTCAACTTTTCTAAGTTTAAAGTTGGTGTTTTCTTTTTGTGATCACAGAGAGTTGTTAATTCAGACTCCTCCTCAGACTCAGACATAGTGCGTGTGCCTACACTAGGGAATGTCAACAGAATAATTGATGATGAATATTCAAGCAGTGATAGTAGCTGGTCATCTGATAATGAAAGTTGTAATATAAGTAGGAGCAACGCAATTGCTTCAAAAATAAATGAGAAAGGAACCATGTCTGATTCCAGTAACAGTCATTCTGAGAAGTGTCCCATTTGCTTATTGTCATTCAAAGGCCAAGAAATTGGATCGCCGGAAACGTGTGATCATGTATTTTGTGCTGTTTGCATTGAGAAATGGTCTAAAAATGTCAATACCTGTCCAGTAGATCGTTTATCATTTGGAATGATCTTGGTTCGAGATAAGGTAGAGGGTAAAGTTACAAGACAAATAGTTGTGGATGCTTCTTCTAGAGATAACTTTGAATTAGTTATTGATATGCCATTTGAGGATTCTTTAGCATGTGAATTTTGTGGCTCAACTGAAAATGACCATACTATGCTTCTTTGTGATGGTTGTAATTTGGGTTTTCATATGGAATGTCTGGAGCCCCCCTTAACTCAGCTTCCAGATGGTGATTGGTATTGTCCAACATGTCAGAGATATGTTGGAAGAAGATCCTCCAGCTCAAGGTGAATAAGTTATTATTGTGTTTATTTTTATTTCCATATGTACTTCTCTTGTGTTTTTCGACAAGTTTTTTAAGTAGCTATTGCACAATCTGTAAGTTATATGTTTTTGACATGAGCCGATTTTACGTTAATAAATTTCTTTTGTTAAAATTATTGACTCTTTTTTTCTGATGTCTAAAATGATATTTTTTTTAAATGGCTCTGCTAAAAAAATAATCCTTTAGCAAAAGGACAAGGAACGAAATTGGTGGATTTTTACACCAGTCAGTATGATTACTAATTTATTTATTTGTTTTAAAATAGATGGTTTTCTCGTACGGGTCAAACCGAACGTGCAATTCGGAGGGTCCGTCAACGCATCTATAATATTGTGCAGGAGCACAGGATGAACAGGATTACTGATGTCGATTATGTTTGGGGATTAAGGAATGAAATTAACAACAGAAATAGTCAACCACGTCATCACAACAAGAAGAAAAAATCAAAGAAGCGAAAAAGCAAGCGAGAACGTAGAATCATGAAAGCGAAAAAGAACTCAAAGACACGTCTGGCCGCTCAGTTGGGTATACGCAACAGTCAGGGACTACTTCAGAACGTATCAGTTGTTGCTTCTAACCATGATCCCACTGAAAATATTAGTTTTCAAAGAAGAATGGCTGGCATTCCCCAGCTACACCTTTTTGGAAGACAAGATGAATTGGACTATTTTTCGTCATCGGAAACGGAGAATAACAATGACAGTTTTCAGTCATCTGGAAGTGCTTCTTGTCTATTGCTCGCACCCGTGGGAAGACCATCGACGTCTTATAGAAGGAATTTGAAAGCTAAAGTATCCTCACCAACAGCAACTGACGCAGATGTTCTAGGAAGTATTCTTGAATGTCAGGCTAAATTCCATTCGAAAAACTATACATTATCGCTGACTGACGATGGTAGAATTAAGCTGGACGGCAAGAACTCTATGTATAAAACCAAACAGACTCCTCTAGTTACTGAAAGCGATAGTACAACTCCCTCATCGACCAACTTCAGTGGCACTAGCAGTGGCAACGCTAACGATGAGAATCTTCAAAGTACACAGAGCACTAACGATTACCATGGAGGAACGGGAACGTCTGCCTCGGGAATTGTACATTGTTCTACTCCTGACGACGCCGACCACGTCCCAATAGATTATTCCTTGCCTCAGTTTTACGAGACAAGCAATAAGGACGAGAAGAAAAAAGATAACAAAGACTTGTATAACCCTGAAGAAGCTAGTGGCGCTAGTGACTCCGAATTAGATATTTACAGCGACATAGAAACGGTGACGACGAGCAGGACAGAAGATGCGGGACTAAAGACGTTGATAATGCGTCACGCCACTCCCGACGCCTCTTCTGTTCATTTCGTAGACGATAATAACGAGAACGAGAGCGATACAGATTTGGTAATAGACGATACAGAAAAAATCGTCGACCAAGACAAATACGATCCGGCTTGCGTATTCGACAGTGACGATGAAAAAACAGAAGCAGAACCTGCGGTCACCAGCACTGTAGATTCGACCGGGGAAGGCTCCATTACTGAAACGTCGGCAGCCAACGTGAATATAAATGCCGAAATACAATCAAATACTGTGCAATCTTCGTCTTCCAACAATCAGAACACGTTAAAGGAAAGCGATGATGATGAATTGCTTGAAGACGACTGCCCTAACTTTAATATATATTCTACTGAAAGTATAAATATGGCTAAATCAAACGATTTGGCCATGATGGTAGTGAGTGGATGTAAAGAATCAGAAAACACTACACAGAACGTCGATAAGTCTTCGATTAAAGTTATTAAAATGCATACAGTTAGTAACGACCAGTTAGAAAGTAGAATAAAGAAGTGTTCCATGCCTTTATACCGCACAGGTGATGGTCTCTACAGCGATTCCGAAGATGAGAATATGATTAAAATCGATCGTAAGAAGCCGTTTGGTATAAACGACCTTCAAACGGAAGACATCAGCGAAGAAGAACGCAGTTACACACCGTGTTTGGATGAGCCCCAACAACATCATCATCTCCAACAGCGTCAAGGTCTTGAAGGACTTGATACTGAAATGATTTCCGATGATGATAAAAACGACTTCGACGACGCTAACGATCCGAAAACTACATCAGATGGTGACGCTCTTGAAATAAACGCCAAAGAGTCGGAACTGGACTTTACAAGAGCTGAAGAGTGTGAAGAAGGCGAGATAGTGGATAAAACTAAAAAAATTGACAAGGAAGAAGAAGAGGAACAGGCAAAAACAAAAGAAAAGGACGAGGAAGCAGAAGATGACGACAGTAATAAAGAGAATGAAACGCAAAAAAAAGAACCGAATAATGATAGAGGAGCTTTGAACGTCACTACCAATAATAATACTACTGGTAATAAAGACCAGGAAACAGCTACGTTTAAAAAGATTAGCAAAAGTCAACGAGAGAGAAATTATAGAGAGAACAGAAGTCGTAGCAGAAGCAGATCGCGAGAAAATACAAAGGGCAAAACATCTATCGATCGCAAAGAACGTCGAAAACGCAAAGAAATCGAAATATATAATGTTCGATCGATTCTATCAGACAAACCTCGTCGTGTAAAAGATCAGTTCGGACGAGATGTTTCACGACGACTATCTGATTCTGGTTCGAGCAGTCGTTCCTTGACACCGCCACCGCAGTCTCCCGTATTATCCGGACGTCGTCTTTTTAACTCCGATTCATCGCCATTGATTGTGACGTCGTCGCGACTTTTAGCCAGATCAAGATCGCGTACCTTGTCGTCTTTTCACACGCCGAATCGTCGACGTTCACGTTCCCATTCCCGTTCCCGTTCTTACTCACCGGCAGCGACGTTAGCGCCGCGACGATCTCTATCCCGAACTCGACGTAGCCGCTCCAAGGAAAAGAAGAAACGGAAACGAACAAATAAGTCACGATCGATGTCCCGCAAACGACGCTATTCTTACAGTGAGCGCAAGAAATCTGTTAACAGGTCTCGATCAAATAAGGAGAAAAAACGACGAAAATCTTCTCAAGATCGGTACAAAGTTAAAGGAAAAAAGGCACGAAGTCGCAGCATGAAACGGCAATGTTCTTCGTCTCCCAAGTCACCATCGCTGCGACGAAGAAACTGGGAACGTCGTAATTCACGGGGATGGACGCCTTCTTTATCTCCATCATCTCCCCCATCCTTCAGGCATTTGTCTCCATCGTGGACGCCTCCGCGGCTTCTAAACCAACCCCCTGTTAAACCTCAGAACTTAACGGTAATCTTAACAAACGACGCAAACAAAAAAACCAAAAAAGACAAAAAGAAGAAGTCAGACAAAAGAGGCAAAGACAACGCTGAAAAGTCATCTAAGAAACGGAAACGTGATAAATCCCCAGCCCCTTCGAAGGAAGTGTTTGCTTCCGGCAATAACATCCTGGTTAGCGTTAGCTTTAATAAAGATGCGGACAATATCAGGGATGTGCAAGCATCTCGAAAACGGTACGAGGCCACATCGGAATTGACTACGAAACGGCTACGCAAAGAGCGCGAGAAGAAGAACAACAGTAACTTAACAGGAACCAGCAGCGCTACTCATGTTAGATCTGAAAAAACCGAGCACAAACAAAAGTTGGCCAACGTGAAACCAGTCGCTATCATAGACCTAGAGTTGTCACCTTTTCGAGAACTAACACCATCCCCCCAAGACATCATCGTGTTAACTGACAGCGAGAACGGCGACAGTAATGATCATATTCTTGGTCTGCAAAAGAACGTCATCATGTGCGACTCGTCATCACAACAAATATCCAGTCCTCCACCTCCAACCATAAGTGCTTACAATTCAGCCGGTCCAAAGACCCCCCCTGAGCCACAGGTTAAGTTTTCTTTAAGTTCGAAACAGTCACAAATGCGTCCGATCATTAATCCACTTCACGAACCTGACGACGTTGATGATGAGCCCATAGAGCCGCGTCGCGACGAAGAAGAAAATCAGGTAATGCACAAAGGTCCCAATACGCCTCCGGAACCGCCTAACTCGCCTCCGAGTTCACCGGATGCTTACGATCCATTCGATCCGACCAAGTCACGAACACCGACACCCGAGCCTGCAGAAAAAACAACACAATCGAATAATTCGTCCATACCGGGCTTGGAAGACACCAATACAGACGGTGACAAAGTTGGAAGTGGAGGGTGTGTGGTATCCAACGTTCCACCTCCAGATGTACGACCTGCAGATTCGCAATCCAGTTTGATCCCATCAACTCCAGACGCGAAAACATCTCCAGAACGATCCATAGGCGTAATAATTAATCAGGTGGTGATGCAGAATCAACAACAAACTTCTGCGTTCCTTTCCAGTCAACAACAACAGCAACAACCCCTTACAGTGGTAGCGCCTTCTTCTATGATCACATCGACTCCTGTGAGTGCTCCCCGCATAAACATCCTTAGTTCTGCAATATTACCTTCATCGAACGTGTCCTCCTCGTCAGTTATGTCACAACGAATAGTAATACCAACTACAAATCGTTCGAGTCCTGTGAATAAGGTGTCACCGTCGAAGATGTCTACCAAAGGAGGTTTGACAACTGCACAGCCCCCCGCATGGAAAGATTCTAACAAGAAAGATGGGACGAATCTCGATTTTGACTCTCCATACTCTCCTGGGTCTAGCGATTACGAGGATCTCTTCGAACCTCCACCAGAGTCTGGAACAAAAAGCATTAAGACATCCAAGAGTGTAACGGCGACCACAGCTGTCGCTACAACCAGTAGTAGCAACAAGACGGTGACCTCAAAGAGTCAGAGTGCTTTCGATCAGCTATTTGGATCCTCGCCCCAACCTCCCCTCTACAAAGTTAAAAGTAAAGGAAATAAAGTTCCGTCGAAAGTTAAGCCTTCCAAGACAAACCCTAAGCCGAAACCCCAACAAACGCCTAGCAAAGGTAAGTTATTGTTTTAATGTTTTGTGTTAATTTTTACTAAAAATCATTTTTAATGTTTCTCGTTTTTTTTTTTTTTTAAAATTTAGGAACAAAACTTGTAGGAGTGAAAATGGATGAAGACAATCTGAAAATTCTTGACGAATTACCAAATTCTGCTGTGGAAATGCAGGTCAAAGACAAGGTAAACTGTTACATATATGCAGTAGTAAAGTTTGTACTTATAAAATAAAATTTCCGCAGTTCCTCAAAAAATTGAATAGACAAGAACGAGTAGTGGAAGAGGTGAAGCTCGTGCTGAAACCCCATTACAACAAGAAACATGTCACTAAAGAGGAGTACAAAGACATTTTGCGGAGGGCCGTTCCCAAAGTAGGAATTATTATTATTATTATTAAGACTGTTACTATTAAATAAAAAATTTGTTTTTTGTAGATATGCCACAATAAATCTGGAGAAATAAACCCGAAGAAAATTCAAGCATTGATTGAGGCCTACGTACGCAAAGTTAGACACAGTAAAAAAGTGACTTCTAGTAGTTCTGTAAATCCTCAAAAAACGTGAGTCCTTTTCCGTTTCCAATCGTAATAATTTATTGTCTTATTTATTAGTTGGCGGCAAGAGTTTGTATTCTAAATAAATGTTACATTTTGCAGCTCTCCATTTTTGCATTTAAAACATTCCGCATTCTGCTTTTTCTTTGTCTCATAAACGTCTTTATTAATTTCCCGTGGTTGAAAAGGTCTTAAAGAAATTTATATAGACGCAATTGAATTTTTGTTTAATATGTATGTCGAAAAACGATTACATATTTCAAAATAACGCCCAGTTGCTTGTCGATGAATCTTATTTTTTGTTTTAAGTAAGCAGTGTTTGGGATGGTATAAACACGTTTTTTCTTTTATCATTTAACAGCAACTAGTATGTTGTTAAAACACCTAGAGTACATTTTTCTGTAGCTGTTAGGGAACGGTTTTCTGTGTTGTGTTGCAAGAACGACCGTAGCCAAACTAATAAACGTAATTAATTAAGAAGATATTACATTTCTAATGAGATTTGTGTAATTAAAAGTTTCTTCATTCTCCCGTGACCATTCTCCCCCCCACAAGACATCTTCTATCCCTCAACCTTCTCTTCTTTGTGCAGATTTACTGAAATGTGTAAAACAAAAACTGTAAGGAAATAAATAAAATGTTTTCGACAAATCAAAAGAATTATTAATTTATCGCACTTTTTACGACCGAAACATTTGACGATGAAAACGAAACCGTAAAGTTAAATTCAAGTCTTTCCCTTTTTCCAGACAAGTAATATCGAATTGGCTCTCCAAAATAAACTAAGGGGTGAACAAGTAACGACTTATCACTTTACAAATTAATATTAATGGCGCAATTTCAATCTTGTAAATATATTTTTAAATAAGAATTTAAATTGAAAAATAGATAGGGTTTAGTTATAAGTTGTTTTTTTTCTGTTCTATTTCAACTCTGAACGAAAAGAAGTTACAAATAAATTGTAAAGTGTAACGGGTTTTATTGCTTGCCACTAATTCAAACTACGAAATTAAAATTCAATCCCCTAAAAATAAGTCATGGATTACATTAATAACAAGTACCTATTATAATAACATATATTGATTATTCATTTCACGTATTCTTTGGTTTATTTAAACGGTATCTGCAAAACCAACCCTATTGTTGCCCAAATCAAACTCGGTATAGTATCTGCCTATGAAAACATCTCCCAAGATCCATAGGGGACCGTTTGGTGGAGGTATATCGATTCCCATAAATCCTAACAGGCACACTGTTTTTCCTAGTTGATTAATCTGAATAAAAAATAACATTTAGACCTTAGAATGTCAAATTAGCGAATTTAGAATTCTATTATAATTAAACTAAAAACTCACCCTAAGAACATAGTCCTTGCCTTCAATCGGGAACGATTTTCCATTGAAAACAAACGAGATGGTGGGGAGCAATGGAATACGTTCGCAATCCACAATGTATTCTCCACCGACTATTGGAGTACCCCCGAGGGCTTTACCAATATTCTCGACCTCCGAGACGGGACCCGCAATCAAACTCGTTCCCGTATCGGCTATAGCTTCGCAGCCATTCGCACAAAACGTTTGCGAAGCCAATTTAATGCCGTCCATTTTAAATTGCCAATAAGCTTTTTTATCAACCGACAAATACGTGAATTCACCTTTATAATAATTTGGGTCGGAACCTCCGAAGATGATTTCGCCTCCCGTGGTCGCTGTGGGATCCCTATAAATTTATTTTTTAGTAAGTAGGACTGGTATACATTTAATTAAACCCGCCTGTCTAAATAGAACGAAAACACTGAATTATTTATAAGTTTCTGATCGACCATGTTGTAGAAAACTGGAGTTACACCATCAACAGAAATGGTGTCATATGCCAGGCCTAATATTCCATCGAATTTGGCCGCAACGAAAGCCAAACCGGGCTCACTTATAGCTTCCGCGAACGTCTGGCTTTTTACGTTCAATGCGCCTACCTAATTAATAATGTGATAATTAGTAAACAAAGAAACATTACTTAATTTACTAATTCTTTATAAAATTGAACGTTTCAAAAAATTATAATTATTACATATTTAATTTGTTATTTAAGTACGTACTTAGACAAGTGTGATAAAATAACAAGTAAATATAACTAGAACTTAATTAGTCATTGCCTCAATTAAAAGATATATGTATTCCTGATTATTTTATTAGGAATATATTAATTATCTTTTTGGCCAAGTAATCTATACAATAAGTATTTAGAATGTTCTAATACAATATTGTTTTTGTATTATTTTACAAACATGATTAATATGATCTTGTAGTAGTTTACCATGAAATTTTTGTGTACATCACACAAGGACCATTAAGACCAATGATAATGAAGTTAGTGTAAGTTTAACCTTTCTGATAACACTTCTTAATGATACGCAAAAGTTTATTTTATTGTTAATATGATTTAAAAGGAAAAGGAAAAATATGTGCATGACTAATACAACACTTTGGATTTATTTAAATAGAAAAGCAACTTTTAAATATTAAAGAAATGAAAAATGTGAAATTATTAATAGAATGCATAATAAAGACTCACATTTACATTGTCTGTTGACAAATATCCACTTAGACTACCAGATCCATATCGAATTGCAAAATCTGTGCCATTTTTCTTGTATGTATTCGATTTTTTGGAGTCATATTTGTTATGAAGTACTGAAAGAAAACAATTGAAAACAAAATTTTAACATACAAAATCCACATACAGCAGGCAATATTTGTATAATGACAATTCTTAGAAGGCACCCATAAATTTGAAGAACCAGTGTCAAAAACAACTTTGAAGCTTTGTGGAGGATTACCAATTGTAATAGGGCCATAATATTGGGCCTAAAATGTGGATTTCATTAAATATTTGCATTTGTATGTTAATATTATCATTACGTCTAAATAATTCGACAAGGGCTCCGGTGATGGTCCCCCATAGCGTAACTTAAGTTGTTGCACTTTTGTTCCAACCTCCTGTAATGTTCGTCTTGCAGATTTAATTTTATGCAATGGAACTCTAAAAGGTCATACAAGCTTGGTCTTTTGCAGGAAAAATATGTGTTAGAACTTACCTGAAAAGCTGCGCATTTGCAACAATTAGGATCATACAAAAAATAGCAAGTGATTTGGTCATTCTTAACCTGCTTATGGACGTTATTGATCGATTTCGCTTACAAACGTACAAGACAAGGTTTATCAAATGACCTCTAGCTCTGGATTAATAATTAACTGATAATATATTATTCATCGATGACCAGTAGGACGGAACACAGTTTAATCAAAATGAATTGCGGCTTCTGCTACTCGTGTTTATATTTAAATTGTTTGTTTTATTACATTTACCATAGATAACACTTACTTTGCGATAACAAAGGTAACCAATCAAAAACGATCCAAAAAGGCGGTTAATTTGAAATATGAGTTCAAATATTAAAGTAAAAAAAAAAAATAGCAAAATAGAAGAAAAATACTTATTACAATTACTAATATGGAACTAAGAAGTGTTTCTACCTGACTAGTCCAGGGTGCGTTCTTCACTAAAGTTATGTTATTAATTAAAACGTATAAAAAATACACATTACGAAAATATGTATTAAAAAGTACTTATCTGTACTATTTATTAATTAAGTTATGTTCAAATGAAATCCAAGGCTTTCAAAAACTTTTTATTGAACGAAATGCTACATATTCTACCATTTGAACACCAAGGAAGTTATTACATTAGGGTTGACACAGAACTAGTTTTTTTTATTGCCAAAAAACGCTACAAAACAAAATATTTGTACCATGAGACAGTATATAAATCAGAAACCTCCTTCTTCTATTTTAATTACTGTAAAAACCACCGATATTGAAAAATTCACGTTCATTAAAAAATAAACGAGTCGAACTTCACTGGTCAATCAGAAATGCTTACAAAAATAAATCACTAATTTATAAATAGAAAAAAAACCTGTTCAGGTTTATTTGGCAATTTATAACTTATTTCAGTTTAAAGACGGTTTACAAAATATTCTCCATCAATGTGTGACTACTATGAACACATATTTGGAAATAGTGTGTGAGTTGTGTTTTATTTCTACAATTTTATTCTTAATGAGGTAATGGCAACAGAGATTCCTTTTCTATTTTTAACAGTTAGTTGTTTATAGTAAAAAAAAACCAAAACATCGTACGAGATTACAAAATCACTTTTACATTTCATTTTTCAAAACTCCAACACAAACACAAGTATATATAAAATAAACACAAGTTACAATTACCATATTAAGTACTGCAGTTAAGGGCAATAAAACCATAACTTTTTACATCTAAACACTATTTCAAGAGCGCACTAACTTCAGAGTAAGTTATTAATGAACAACCCGAGCCATTCAAGTCAAAAGTATTTAATGATTCTGCTAAATTGTGAATGTACTTTTGTTTTTAAAATGAATTTGTTAGTTTTGAGCACCTTAAAAATGTAACTAAAGTTAGTACACACAGAGAATGCACGATATCTTGCATCTTATTACATTATATTGATAAACTTTTACTGTTTTATAGGAATGTTAGTAGTTGCAAGTGTTCTCTGTTTGGCAGCTGCACAAATGAATGTCATGTTAAATAATACCGCAGTGAATGATATATAAAAATAAAAAAGAAATGAGTACAAACTAAACTAAACTAAAAACACAAACCTGCCGCAAACTATGAACATTAGACATTAAATTGGGATGAATAGTGACAATTAGTTTTAGCTGTTGCTGTCCTTATTAATGCTAATATTGTTGTAGTAAAAGAAACAAGATAGCTCCTTTTTTAAATTATTGTGTCAGTTATTTTAATATTAGGCAGCAACTTCTGGTTTGTCAGTAGACTCAGCTGCACTGAGTTTTGCCTTCTTTTCTGGGGTTGCTTCCTCGGCGGAGGAACCTTCGGGGCCATCGCCGCCACCACCTGCCGATTTTCTCTTGACAGGACAAGAAACAGGTTGTTCTTCCTCTTTGTGATCTACAACTGAATCAAAACAAAACTATTTATTGTACGACTGTCGTGATTTAACATGAAAAAAATAAAATAAAAAGAGATACACTTACCAGTATCGTCTTTGGAGTCTTCTTTACCATTTTTCGGTGCTTCTTCAATGTCACCGTTCTCCTCGTTTTCCACTTTCTTGTCGGTTGCTTCTTTGACCTCCTCTTCCTTCTTATCCTCGACTACAGGTTTTTCCTTGATTTGTTCTTGTCTATAAGAATTCAACACGTGTTCTTTTTATTAATCAAGTTATCGAACATGCGTCGTTGAATGAGTACTTTAATTAAGCATAAGAAAAGTTTCAAATACTGGAGTTTCCGAATGAAAAAAGCAACAGCAACTAAATAGATACATCTGCTCTGATTTAACCGTTTTACCGGCTTTTTTTAGAGAAAAACGCCACATTGTCGCCATCTTGATAGCATACCGCCAAAACAAAGAATATAACTTTTCACGAATACAATACAAAATAAGAATGTTAAAATTACTTACGGTTTTTCACAAACTTTGTCTGCCATTTTTGAAACTAGTGATTGCTTCTTGATACACTTTTTTCTTAAAAAAAAGGTCGTTGTTTATAGAGGGACGCAAAGAACGATTTACACACAGCTTGGCGCTTGGTTGACACCATAGATAGTTGACAGACACGAGCATAGACGATTTATAACGGACAGGACACGAGACAATGACGAGAGTTAGATAGAAACTGGATAGAGACACTGAATAATAATTATTATATAATTATGTAATAATTAAATGTTTGCATGCTTGATTTACAACAAATGCAAATAGTAATGGCAATCGATTTTTAAATAAATTATAAAAAAACTATAAGTACCGGAATGATAGTATTGCGCCACAGTTGTACAAATAAACATTATTGCCATCTATAAAGGAAAAGCTGAACTTTCGAAGTTTAGCTAAGATTAGTCTTAAAATATCCCAAATCGGTTTCGACTTTGAGGGAGGTGAAGTGGAAGTTCTTCGGTGTTGGGAAGCCATTTTAATTATATGCATGTCTATTATTATCGTTCTAAGTTTGTTTCATATGAAAAAAAATTAGGTAAAAGCCTGCCGGAGTGAAAAGTGAAGCTACGAGCTCGTTGGTCGAGGGGTTATCGGTTAGTTCAAAAGGTGGCCAAAAAAAGAAATGGTGTGAATGAATTATATTGACTTAGAACAAGTGTTCTAGCCGTGTATTTGGATTAAATCGTAATTATTTAGTGCTTCGGAAAGAGCACCAAACGTACCTGAAGCCCTGGAAGGTTTAAAAGTCCAAACCATGGGCAACAATGCCGCTACGGCTAACAAAAAAGTTGACTCCGCCGAAAGTGTGAAAGAGTTTCTTGACCAGGCCAAGGAAGACTTTGAGGAAAAATGGAAAAAGAACCCGACAAACACTGCAGCTCTTGACGATTTTGACAGGATAAAAACGCTAGGCACTGGATCTTTTGGTCGAGTGATGATAGTACAACACAAACCAACAAAAGAATATTATGCAATGAAAATACTTGATAAGCAGAAGGTGGTAAAATTGAAACAAGTGGAACATACCCTGAATGAAAAGAGAATTCTTCAAGCAATCAACTTTCCATTCCTTGTAAGTCTCAGATTTCATTTTAAGGACAACTCAAATTTATACATGGTGTTGGAATATGTACCAGGGGGTGAGATGTTTTCCCATTTAAGGAAAGTGGGACGATTTTCGGAGCCCCATTCTCGTTTTTACGCTGCTCAAATAGTGCTAGCTTTTGAATATTTGCACTATTTAGATCTGATTTATCGAGATCTGAAACCTGAGAATCTTCTCATTGACTCGCAGGGTTATCTTAAAGTCACAGATTTTGGGTTTGCTAAGAGGGTTAAGGGACGCACCTGGACGTTGTGTGGCACCCCCGAATATTTGGCACCTGAAATTATTCTCAGTAAAGGATATAACAAAGCAGTTGATTGGTGGGCATTGGGCGTTTTAGTGTACGAAATGGCCGCCGGTTATCCGCCCTTTTTTGCCGATCAACCTATACAAATTTATGAGAAAATTGTATCCGGAAAAGTCCGGTTTCCTTCGCACTTTGGCTCTGATTTAAAAGACTTGCTTAGGAACTTATTGCAAGTGGATCTCACCAAACGATATGGCAACTTGAAGGCCGGTGTTAATGATATAAAGGGGCACAAATGGTTCGCCAGTACCGATTGGATTGCTGTATTTCAGAAGAAAATCGAGGCACCATTCATACCTCGTTGTAAGGGCCCCGGGGATACTAGTAATTTCGATGATTATGAAGAGGAAGCTCTTCGTATCTCCTCAACTGAGAAATGTGCTAAGGAATTTGCCGAGTTTTGAATATTTTCTTTTATAGTGTAAGTAGCTCACTATTTATTTAGTATATACTTAAAATAACGTGTTGAGTGAACTGTCCAAAAAGGCTCTTCCAGTTATACTTTGATTTACTATTAATATCATTTTGAAAGGAACCTGGGGCTCCCTGTTCATCAGAAAGTACCACCTTACTTTTATTTGTTTTTTCTTTTTCATGTTGTTGTAGGAAACCCTTATTTTATTAATTGGTGATTACATTTTCACTGTATGTGTGACATTTGTATGCTTTTACCAAAAGGAACTGATGTAGGCACCTACTTATTGAAAATAACTGAAATATACCCAATAAGTACCTATGTCATATCAGTCTGTTAATTGCTTGATTAAAACAAAAGTTGCCTTATAAAAATATTCATTTATTTTATCCAGTTGATTTGTTTTTTTGAGACGAAACAATCACGTGGGTCGATTTAAGTAACTTTATTAAAGTAATTAAAACTTATAACAAGCAGGAGAGCCCAGCTTGCAGCTGATCAAAAATGCGTACTTCGCATTCATTGCAATATCTGCAGTCTGTGGTGTTTTGAGTAGCTCACTAAATCGGCATCTTAATCGTGTTGATGCTATAATATTACTGTATAGTTGTGTTGTTGTCAAACATTTTTTTCTTACAAGTTAAGGTCAAAAATATACAGGAGTATTTTGAATTGTTTGCTTTGTTTTTAAACTGTGCAATATACTTATTGCTATTCTGAAATGTAAATATGGTTAAAGTAACCTATTAGATTAGAGAACCCTAGTCAACTTTGTTATTATTAATTATAATGAATTATTATTATTATTCTTATTCTTATAGAATTACTGCGTACCAAATAAAATATATTTAACTTTAAATGAATGTTGCGAATTCATTTTTGACGACATCAACACCGTTGATGTGTTTAGTGACCTTCTTTTCTGAAAATGCTTCAAAAGTAGAATATTAACTTCTGCACAAATTGTATATTGTGCAACCGTTTTGTTTCCTTAACAAATAAAATTTTTAATAAAGAAAAGTCAGTTGAGCATTAAAACATTATTCTGTGTTGTAAGGTACACTGACAGGGTGTTCGGTTATCAATGATTGGCGTTTTTTTGTTACAAACAATAGCCAATCTAAAATAAATTTGTTGAAAGTTGTTCTGTTAAATACATCAGACCCTACAAATAAATTTTTACAGATTATGTGTGACAGTTATTGTAGTATGGGTTCTTTTTTCTTAATTTCGTTCAATTTGCCAATGCAATGATTATATTCAAATGTGACTTATAAATGTATTTGTAAGTAATAAGCCAGTATTGGTAAAAAAAGAACACCTGCGAATTACCATGGAAAAGGTATTATTTATTCGTAGATATTTTCTTGCAACGTTTATTTTTCAAATGATTTAATTAAAATTTGCACCTTAAAAGACTTACAAGGACTTCATCGAAAATCAGAAGTAGAAGAGACGTTCTTTAAATTGTTTTGATAGAACGTGGGACCAAAACTTTGAACTATATTATTTGAATTTATAAACGTTTTTGCACTTTAAGCTTACTTTGTATTTTGTCAATAGTTATTGTGGAATACAGAAAAGAAGCAGAAATGTTGCAAGAAACTGTCTTAATCAATAAAAACTTTATTAATGTTCATATATAATTGATGTGTTTTTTGTAAACGATGCTGTTAAAATCTGCCGATGTTTTTGTCATTTTTTTATTGAAAAAAAGTGATGCCTGAACACCAATATTCTACATTCTTCACATGGTTACTGTCATTCGATATAGATATTATAATATATTAAAAGGTGTATCCTATTTTTCAGTCGTTTTGGAATTAGTTCGTTACGAAATTTCGGGGGTTTTGACAATTAAAAGCATCTGTTGTTACTTGTAAAAAAAGATAAAATGTTCATTAAATTTGCGTATGTATAATAAGCGGCAATCTCGACTTGCGTAATTTGGGTTGCCTATGTATGGACGGTTCATTTTTATTGAATTCGAGTGTGCTTTTTCACAGCTTATTTACATGCGAAACATTTAAATTTAAACAAGATTGCCTCCTATGGGATATTTAATACTAATATCACCCCAACGTATAGAATAGAAAATAATGAAAACAAAAGAAAAACTAGTAGCTTGATCGTTACTTAAACTGTATTTATTCATGTAGACGGAATTAATAATAGTTATTATATAAATATTTATGTGCTTTTTAAGTTTCCAAGTGTACATAGTTTTTTGTTTTGTCAGCCCCTTCCTAGGTATATTGGTACTTCAGAATGTGCTAGCTATTGTAAATTTTTAGACCTATTATTCGTTTTTTGCTTTTGTATTTTAGTTCATGTCGAAGAATGTATTAAAATAATTAAAGTACTTAAAAAAGTATTTGCCTGGTCTTAAAAGTTTTCTTTTTTTAATTTATTTTCGATAGTCTTATTAAAGTATTTTAAAATTTATGCGCGATGCTAGTAGGTAAAAAAATAATAAAATACATATTCATAATGCGAGGTTTCAATGGCTAGAGTTTACATTTGCAATTTCCACCTGTATAGTCAAGGTAAACATGTTTAGCAAAATTAGCTTTTAAACATTTTCTGCTGGTCTCTTTAACAACACCCTTTTTACAAATAATAAGACGTAGAGTTCAATTTTTTTTATCATTTATCAACAAAAAATTATCAATTTAAATGATTGTAATTGTTGTAACGGTACCTAATTGTAAGTAAAAACAAACGAGTCCCAGTACATATAATCGTAACATTTATTATTTGGTGCAGCTGTACATTCTTGTTTGATTTTAAAACAACAATAATATTTTATTATACAATTTGAAATGTCGCAACACAATCATTATCAAAAAGATAAAACTAATTACTTAATTTATATTGCCGCTGTATTAACAAAATAACTAGGAGCCAGCCTATTAATAAAAAAAAGTTTTGTCTGCTGTACAACTAGAATATAGATGCATGTAAATAGAGATCTACAGAAAACAAGTTTGCCATGTAATTTTCTGTTTACTATTACTTGTTTTTTTCTTGCTTTTGAATTTTCAATTTGTATTCATAAATAAACAGTAGAGAAAAATATCTTGCAAACGGTTTAATATTTACGATTAGAATATAGATATTTTGAAATTATCTACAAAAAAAGTGCTGCTTAGTAAATGAAGTTAATTGATGTTATATTATAGGTATTAAATCTTTTATCTTTGATACTAGATACACGTAATTGTGGTCTTTGATATTATTTCGTATATCAGTAATATGTACCCATTATAGATAAATATAGGAACCGCAGAAAAGATACTGAGTTAAAGGTGTGCAAAACGATTTTTTTTACTTAACAGTAATGTTATTAATTACTTTATTAGATGATTGAGATGTTGTATTTAGTCTTCGTTATTGTTGCGGCGTCTTCTACCCGGACCACCTGCGAAGTTAGCTGCAGCTAAGCCCATAAGATGTTTGGCCGCCTGCGATCCTGAGTAGCCCCGACTTAGGCCCAAATCGAGTCCTCTTTTTGAGCTAAACATAATCACTTTTGCTTATTAATAGTTAACATGACAATCTAAATGAGAAACATTTAATGGTTTCAGCTATTGTTCATTCATAATTTTGTTTTTGACTCAATCAGGTAAAAGGATATGTTCTATTCGAATTTTATCCCTTTACCAATAAATTGGTAATAAGTTATTTGTTATTTTGTTAGTTAGAAATGAAACTCATAAAATAATAGTTAGAGAAGTAATATATTAATTTGTAATTAATGTGTAAATTGATTGTCAGTTGGATTGTTTCCTGTTTGCGTAATTAACGGTAGGGCTTGCTTATGCCACCAATACTGCTCTTTTTTTCTTTCCTGGTCCACTCGGTGAATTAGCATAATCAAACGCAAGCCTATGTTGAGCTTCTAAAAATCCAGAACGGCCCCGGTCCATCCCGAAATCTACCATTGCGGCACTTCTTTTTTGCATTAAACTGTAAGTTTTTCGTCAGTCACTAGGCGTTTAGATGTATAACAGTATAAGCGGACAACACTCGAACAATTGCGACAATCGCGTATATTATTAACATAAACACAAAGCACGTTGCTCTTTTAATATTTAAAAAATAAAAATTTTATTCAAGAATCTAAATATTTAAATTTAAAAAAGTTTCGAGAAGCTGTTATGTAGCCACTACCATCAAAAATTGTAGATAACTGTTGTTTTGTTCAGAGAATTTCTTTAATTTTGATTATGTAATAATTTTTTTGAAATGTGCTTGCTTACTGTATTATTTATTATTTAAGTATAATATTGGCTAATAATTACTGAAAAGAACAGTTAAATATCGTATTTTATGCTTAATTTACTCAGGAAGTAACTTCTTTAGTTTAGCTATTCTCTCAGAGAGGGCGCATTAGGCTCCATCCTCTATTAGACCATTGACAAATTCAAACTGTCAAAAAGTTTTAATTTTTCATGTAGCACGTGCGAATGCAAAAAATTGAATAATATCGGTACCGAACGGTGTAATTGCTGTGGAATATTAATTATTAAACGTGATAGTGTATCTCTACAATGTCAATAATTTGGTAAGTTTATTATTTACACTATTAATCTCATTTGGTCTTACACTCCACGCAATTTGCAAAATTCCATACGTAGAAGTGATGCTTGGTCGTAATAAAAAAGGATTGTGTTTAATAAGTATGTAGATAAAATCCGAAACCTCGTTAAGTATACAGTTGTCGATGTTTTGTTTTGGTCATGTTTCACTCCGTCATTAGGTGTCGAAGCAAAAATATCCAATTATGCCTAAATTGTCAGATAGAAGAGGCTTTCATTAATTGGTGCTTGTTTCGCTATGTCGTCTGTAGTGTATTATTTCTTTTTATTTGTTTATGTGAGTCTTTTAAAAAAAGCTTCGCATACCAACACAATTGCCAAATAATATCAAAATTGGGCATTTAAAGTATTTTGACTTACTTTTCTAAGTCCTCTTCGGCAACGAGGGCTTGTCTAAGACGAGCTAAGGTTTGTAATAAGTACTCAGGGTTCCTTTCGAATGACAATTGGGGCGAATAAAATTCAGGACTGAAAAAAATAATGCAAATTCTTTTATAAATATTTTACTTGATTAATTATTAAACGGAGAGAAAAACTTACAATTAAATTAATGACAAACAGTTTTACCTTGGTTGTGGTGCCCCTTCTGCTAGGGTCATGTAGTGTACCACGGCCAGAGCAACTAGTAGGGGTAAAAATGAGATATTCCTTTTTGAAAACATTTCTTTATCTGTAAATGAAAAGCAAATCAGACGTTTCGTCATACCGGAATAACATTTCTGCTATCGAATTAAACTTTATGAATACTTATAAGCGTTTTAAGGGGGAAGTTAGGTACTTGGATTCAATACTTTAATTCGAATTTATTTTCGGTTCTTTGGCCTGGAATAAATACATGCGGGCTTACAACCGACGTATTAAAACGGCTTTGTATCAAAGTCAAACTTTGTCAGGGAACGTTATACATGTTAACTGGGGTAGACATAAAACACCTGTTGTTTGTTAATTCTTAATTTTTTCAAATAATTAAAGAAGAAACGTTATTTCTTTGCAATAAATCGAGCGATATACTAATTTGATTATGATTCTACCGTAGCTGAATGTTGAACGTTGGATGCGAAACGATTTTAAAGAAATCCATTTTTCATTATCCCTGTTAATTAATTATTTTCTAATTCAAAATTGTAGTATACGAATTACATTTGCATTAAGTTGCATAGATGACAGGTACACGTGCATCTGACGATTTATTTATCGGCCAGCTTATGTACAGCGATAAAATCGACCACCTCTGAATATGCTTACAGAATCTACTAGGCTTTGCCCTAGATAAATAAACCACTGATTACTATTTCAACTTTTTCCTTGTCAAAACTGCAATTTGACTGAAGGTATTTTAATGTTGCTAATGATCAATTGCCTGTTTTACATGATATTTTACGTTGAGATTTTCTATTTTGCATTATGATACTGTACTTCCCTTTGAACGAATAGCCCTGTTACCCTGCAGGACCTTCACTATCGGCATTAATTATTGCTATAATTACTTTTGCAAACGCCGACGTAAACGTAATGGGTTTTTGTTGCCATTTATCATGCATCCAGAGACAGGCCTGCAATTGGACTGATAGTGCCGTTTAATAGGTGTACATGTGAACAATAAGGCATTAATTTATTTATTGGTCATTTGCAATATTATACGTACATACGTGCATTATGTAGGTGTTTCCCGTCCGAGCGTTATCTTAAATTGTTTAGCGATTGATCCGAATTATGTGTTACAAGTGGGTATTATTAATTAAATCGGTTCAATTAGACATTCAAAAACATTCATGCACTAGAGGCATGGAGAACATACATTTACATAGTTGTATCTACAAGCATGTTATTAGTCAGGCACATGCATTCGAGTAAGTTGTTGGCCTTTCATGTTGTTTCTTAAACCGACGTTATCGGTGCATCAGTAAGTAGTGTTGTCTGTTGAATACGAGGGGCTGCGGGCGGGTGGCGACGCTCTTTGCTTTTGAAATTAAATTTGAAAGCAGTAGTCTTTGCACTGATCTCCCATACATAAATAAATTTGCGAATTAACAGAACTGACATACTTCCTATATATCAGTAAGATAGTTAGTCAAGTACACGTTAGTATTAATTATCTTCGATTAAATATATATATNNTTTACTTACGTTAGTTAGGTACATATATATATATATATATATATCTAGAGAATGAGAAGGGATGCAATTGTATGATCTCAAATAGATACCAGGATGGATGTGAAAGATAGAAAGAGGATATGATTTGGTTATTTTAGAGACAATTGTTGTTTAGGAAGGTTGTCGTTATTTGAATTGTTTTGTTGATGATAAAGACGTTTGTGTCGGTTGAGAGTTGTAAGTAGGTATGCTGGAAACATCTGGGGAAATTGCGATGGAGCGAAATTTTGTGGAAATTGTGGAGAGTAGGATCCATCGTCACCCCATTGCAATTAACTCTTCGAAAAGATCTCGGTCCGCTGCTCTCCGCTTTGGCGATTTTGTTAAAGCGTTAAAGAGAGAGTAGGGTTTTACCGGCTGGATTACGTTTACGACCTTTGTGGTAGCACTTTCGTTTTCTTCATGGGACCTCTTGAAATAGTTGAACGCATTTGCGTTAGAAATAATGATATCTTACGTAAAAGACGCGTAAACGCGTGCACAGTGAGAGAGCGAAAGCGAAACGTTGTCGGTACATTTTTGTTTTTCTGTTTGTTTTACCACTTGTAATATTTTTTTACCCTGGTCAAAGAGAATTTTCTTTGTCTCTTTGCCGAATATGAGTCAAAGGATAACGATTTAGTTTCAACAAATCCGTGCGAGTTTGAGAAAAAAATAACAGGATTGTAAAGGTGATAATGATTTTTTGTTACGATCTTGTCCACGTTAAGTAGGATGGATAGGGAGGCGAGGGAGGGTTCGTGAACCCATAAATGATAGTAGATTTTTAGATCATAAACCGTTATATTTATAAGGGACATAAAAATAATCCGAACATATCTCGATATGAAAGAGCCAATTAAAAAGAGTGTTTTTACTCTAAAAGTTAAACATTTGACGGTGTAGAAACGATAGCCGAGCTCTGAAACATTCTAATATAAACGCCATTAGAATGACAAAAATCTATCGGTCGTTATTTAAAAAAAAAAAACTGTTTTGAAAAATTTTCAGCGCCCAAAACCAACAAATGAGACATCAAAATCCCCAAATGGTTCTTTGATATTCCGTAAACGATAAAATACGAGTGGTATTTTTAAAACAAAAAAAAAACCTAGTTTTGCACTTGGTTGCGATTAATTGCTTCAGCAACGTTAATGAACTCGGATCAGTTGCAGGAGAGGTAATTTTTGAACGTTCAATTTCAAAGACAACGTTCGGAAAACCTTTTAATTTAAGGACAATACTGCACAGTTTGAAATTAATAAATTTGTCATTGTTAAATAAGGTTGAATGTGTGTATTCTGTACGTTACATTATTCCGGACATTACGAGATAACTTATGTGTGTATGTATGTTCCCTTTTTTATTGGTTTTTTTTGCGATTGTCATTTTGTACCCTCCTTGTTCTCTATATGTCTCTTTTCTGAAAAATTGAATTTGTCAGGTCTTCGAGATGGGCAAATTCAATTTTTTAAAAAGAGAGGTTTCGCGTTTCTTTGCTGCCTACTCTATATTATGTGCAGGAAATGTGATATTGTTGAGATATAATTTAATTCGATTTTTTATTCGAATTTTGCGTTAGTGAATTGTATACTAAAGTGCAATTGTCACATTCTCGCAATATCGTTTTCGTTTGGTAGATATTTTTTTTCCTATCCTATTTTTAACATAAATAATTTGTTTTAACAAGGGTTGGTAATAGCAATTATTAATCACTTATTAATAAACGTTGCTATCACTGAGAGACAGACAATTTAAAATGGGCAAACAGCGGAAGAAACGAGCGAATTCACCACCAGTTTATAAAATCGATATCAAGTGGTAAAAAGTTCTCGTTTAAGATGGTAATATTTCATTCCATTTAATTTCATTTATACAATCGATATTTCGAATTTAAATTACTAATTTTGTCTTTAATTTAAAGTCGTTAGTTAAATGCAGCGAACAACAATTTGTTACCTAGCTTATTAATAAGGATGATTTATATAAATTACGATTTTGTCCACTTATCATAGTACATATTGAACTTATTTAAAAGTCCCGTTAAGCAGTGACAATTTTTGTTTTTTGCAAGTAGACAATTTTCTTGTGGATGGAAAAACGACGTGACATTCTTTTAATGTTATTATGCAAACATTCGAAGATCATTTTTCCTTCAGATCCAAATCCTTTGGTTCGTTGCGCGACAATGAGCGAATTGGCAGAGGAAAATTGAATATTGTTGTAGGTACGTACCTACACAAAATCAATTTGCGTCATTTATTCACGGAGTTCACCGTACCGTGTGATAGGGGATCACCCGATCACTAGTCGATATTGTGCAACGTACATGTATGCATATAATAGTAATAGGTAATAGCGAATAGCAAACAAATGAAAAACAAGAGGAAACTGGCCAATAAATATTGTTCATTTTTATTAGTTTTACAATAAGTAAAATCAATATCAGGTTTATAGAGAATCTCGCGGGTTATCTATGAGCACGTATGCAACATAGGTATACATACAGGGTGTATGTTGGGTTGCATGTACCAGACTAGTTTTGTTTTTGGCTCGAGTTGAATTAAACACGACTCAAAAAAATCCGTATATTAAATTACATTACCTTGTTCGGAATCGCATTTATCTAGATCGGTTCATCATCCCTACAAGCTTTTGGATACCAAATTTTCTTAAAATCGCGAGAATTAAAAAAAACTCACGATTTCGATGAAATTTGGTATACATACGGATTTTAAATTCGATTTCAAAGTCGAATATATACGTATATGCAACCTGGCGCATACTTGCATGTACATCCATGTTACATATGTATCCAGAAATATTACATCATTAGTTATCCAACGACAAATTTTGAAGGAATCATTTAAATCTCATTAAGGAGAAAAGAATTTTTATAGTTTTTCACTTTCCCTAGAGTAGGTAATTTCCGTTTTGGAAACTATTTAAATGTACTGTAGTAGTTAAATCCGTGGGATTTGGGTTCGGAATTTACCCAATGTTAACAATTCAACAACGAGGGCCTTAAACTTCAGTCCAGGGCGGGTTTAAGGAATAATCCTTCCGATTTTACGTTTTGCCGCTATACAGCTTGGTCGTTTATTCCTAAATACCGCACTCGTCCGTACATTTACCAGAACTAACGCTTTAGGTATACTACAATAATTTGGACATTCAAGTTGTTCAATGTTCATTTGTTCATACGGTGAAAATAATATTTCAAAAGGTGTTTTCCTTTTTTGCAACGTAAATACGTACGTTAGAGAAAAAGAACGATTCAAATTGTGGCAGTGTTGATGTAATAGCTTTCGGCAATTTTTTCCTGCTTCCTTTTTACTTTTATGGCTTGTTACGTAATGTGCCCTTTGGTAGCCGGCATCCAGTTAGCAGACTTTTCCCAAAATGTCAATTTTATTAGTCTGCTGTGAAAAAACACATCTCCTAATTACTCACATCCATTTGCCCGTTCGATTAAAAATTGTTTTTTTTTTTTTCTTTTTTGTTAGAAAATTATACGGTAAAGGTTTGTACATT